AAAAAAAAAAAAAAAAAAAAAAAAAGCCACAATTCTCACAGCTCTCACCACATAACATACGAGCGAATCTGGACCTTCTTCCTCCGAAACGCCTCCTCATCCCCCCTCTTCGCCAGCGCGCCCAACTCACCAAACATGCGCCTCAGCTCCGCATCGGCATCGACGTCTTTCTTCTGCGTATACACGAAATCCAGCAGCTGCTCCCACTGCGCCCGGAGCTGCTGCGGATCCTGATGTTGATGTTGATGCTGGTGCTGTTGCGGCTGGTGCTGTTGCTGCTGCTGCGGCGGCGGCGCACTCGAAGCATAGCCATGGCCCAAACCACCGCCTCGCGCATCCCCTCTCGCAGCAACATCCAGCTGGCGCGCAAGCGAGCGGTCCTCATCAGGAACAGCAATCGTCCCGCGCGACGGAATCGACGAGTACGGCGGCGCGGGCGCAGGAGCAGCAGCGGGCGGCTGCCTCGCCTGCGTCGGCGGTGGTGGCATAGCGCGGCCCGGGGGCGAAGTCGGGGACGGGATGCCTGTAAACGGCGGGCGATATGTAACAAAGCGGAACTCCTCTTCGTCGGCAGCGCGGAACAGACGGGCAGCGGCAGCGGACATGAGGGAGATGTCGGGGGTGCGGCGGGCGTCGATGCGGTCGTCGCGGGTGTCGAAGACGTGCCGGCGGAGGTGCTTGTTGGGGTGCGAGGTTGTTGTTGTTTGGAAGGCTTTGTGGCGGCCTGCCGAGTGGCAGAGCTTGCAGATCCAGTATTGCTTGCGTGAGAGCCGGTCTTGGGCTAGGAATCCGTACCGCCAGATGTAGCTTGTGCGGTGCCGGCGCTGTGGGCCTGTGAGTGGGATCATTTGCAGGCCTTGCGCTATGCTGGGGTCGAAGGTTATGCCGTCGACGTCGCGGAGGCGGTTGTCTTGCGCTGCTTCGTTGTCGTTGTTGTTGGTGTTGATGTTGTTGTTGGAAGTGCTGTTTTGGTTCTTTAGGTTGTCGAGCTCGGTGGTGAGCGCGGTATCTCTGCTAGAGGCGGATACCGTGCTACTAGCTGACGATGGTGTCGGAGGTGCGGAAGACATAGTTGTGGCTGAAATGGATATGAATCAATTTGTGGGAGGCGCAGTTGGGTACAACGAGTTGGACTGCATGAACTTAAGGCACATTAATAGTGTGACGGTAGGAAAAATAGAGGTATCCGAACCATGGTTCTCTGCCTCGTAGTCGACCGTGTAGTCCCCCGCTAGTCAACTTATATAATCAAGCTCGGCCGGGCCAGACCCTGCTCCAATGTCAGTCCTCGCCTGGCAGCAAATCAGACTGGGCTATGATGCACACTGCTTTCCTGTTCCGTAAGATCGATCTTCGCCTCCGGTCGGGTTTGAAACTTTAATATTTATTAGTCTCATTAAGGTTTGCCGTCCAACCATACCAGAAAAAGTACCGTTTGCCACAGCGATATGTGCCGAAGGGACCTATGTTGAAGTCATGTTGGATGCCCCTCAGGGGCAGGGGTTATACAAGAACTCTCGCTAATGTTACTCTATTTGGTTGGCCTACCTAATCGGGCTTGTTACAGACAATCAAAGGCTTTGGATAACTCAAACCCAGTTCGACAGTCATTTTGTACTTGCGAAAAGGCCCAGGAAAATAGCCAAGTATGACGTTTTAATTAGCTGCTTCGGTGCTTTCGGTTGTATTTAGCGCTCCTTCGATATTCGATACCGGACCACTCGACTTAATTATACGAGTACTCAGCACTAGTCCAGTTCGGTTTCTAGCTCAGGTTCGTTCGCAGTGCTGCTCACCCAGAGCTCGCGTATGCAGGTTTGTAAAGGCTTGGTAGTTAGACAGTTCCAGAAGGATAGATCAGAATCTGTGACACGATATGCGTTTATGGTGCAGGTAATTCCTCAGCTAGACAACCAGCAAGCCATTCGCTATTCCCCTTTTTCTTTATGTTCTACCACCCCGAACACACCCAATCTAACCTCCCAAATACCTTCAAATCCAATCAGCAGCCACGAAAAACCCAACATCAACACCACAACACCCGTTTTCAAACATATACCCACCCCAAATACACCAAAGCCGCAATCCCCATCCCTGACAAACACACCACAGACATCGCGGTCATCAAAATCCCATACCGGCATTGCTAACATATCATTTCCTCCCCAAGGTACCTCTCGAGCATCTACTGCAAAACAAAGTTAACCCCCCACTCCCACCACGCCACCGAAAACAGCCAGCATCCCCCACCACCCCCAAACACTAACGACGACCACCACGATGCATCGCCGATGACGAGCACCAACAAACAGACAACAAACTTTAGGAAAAGCGGACACAAAGTTAAAATAACCTCCACGCGTCTTGCCTTATCCAGACAAGACATGCTCGTGGTCCCCACAGCTACAATCAGGCATCTTCTTTATTTCGCTGGCGCGAGTGACTACGATTGCTGTGTGAGTTGAATCAGCTGCGAAAGACGCAGGCTTGAGCGCTGGGATTTGCGCCGAATGAGCTGCGCGTTTATAGGTAGGTATGGGGCTACGGCATGACGGAGGTGCTTGTGCAGGTGACATGGAGGGGATAAAGCCGAGCGGCATCTCACTGCGCAGGCACAAACATACACATACACACACATACACACACACACACACACACACACACACACACACGTCTAGTTCCATGCTGTGTTCCCAATAGCTAGCCGATTTATTCGTGGTATCATATCAAAGCACATCCCAATCCAACCCATCCCAAATCCCATCCTAATTTTACAATCTCTCCATCGTCAACACACACCCCGGCGCCCCGCCACCCTCCCCTCCACAATCTACGCCACCGCCACAACCGCCGGCTCCCTAACCCTAGTAACCTGCTCATCAGCGCGCACAATCCTCTTCCCAAAGCCATCCTTCGCGACCTCGACCCCGCCCTCCCCAGCCCGCTTCCAAACCTCGACCTCCATGCCGCCCCTAACGACACCGACCCGCATAGTCGAGAGCAAGTTATGCGCCGCATTACTATGCAGATACACGCCACCATTAAACATAGCGGTAGCGTCCTTGCCAATGCCGGCTTTAATCATGGCTTTGCCGCCGGGGTGGTCGCGCACAAAGTCCGAGACGTCGTGGACGACGCCCGCGACGGCGATGAGGGCGCGGCCGTTGCGGCACTGCTCGACGTAGTCGTCCCAGTCCATGACGGGCAGCTGCGACAGCGGCGTCCCCCAGTCGAGCGTCGCGCGCTTACGGTCCAGCTTCTTTTGCGACATTTGCAGACGGCCTTTTTCGATTTCGTTGGCGCGGAATTGCTTCAGGTCGCTGGCGAGCCCGAGCTGCTTCCACAGCCAGATGCACCATTTGGTCGGGTCGTACTGGTACCATTCTGTGGGGCGAGGTTAGTGCTGCTGCGTTGCCTATGTGGGTGTGTGGGGATGGTCACGTACCAATCGCGTTGCGGTAGTCGCTCGGGAACTCGTGGTGAAAGTTGTGGTAGCCTTCGCCCAGCGTCGCAAAGGCCGTGAGGACGTGGTCGCGCGGCGAGTTGCGGTCGTCGAACGGCTGCTCGCCGATCCAGTGCGCCATCGAGTTGATGCAGAAGGTGGCCTGCTGGACGAAGAAGACGCGCAGGATGCCCGCGTACACAATGCCGCCCGCCCAGTCGTTCCACACCAGGCCCGACACGACGGCCGGGAAGAACACGCCCATGAACAGCGCGCACTTGACGTAGTGCCGGTGCTGGAACACGACGATTACGTCGTCGTTGAGGTCGCTGATGTCCGTGCGTCCGATTCGCTTCGGGTTCTGCTTCATCAGGATCCAGCCCATCTGTCGTGTTGTCAGTATGGTGCGCTGCTTTGAGAAGGAAGGGAGAGTAGAGCACGCACGTGCGAGTACCACAGGCCCTTCTTGACAGAGTACGGGTCCTTCTCCGTGTCGGTGTAGCGGTGGTGCGCGCGGTGGTCGCGCGACCACCACCGGATGGAACCCTCGATAGCACCGGCGCCGAAGGCCGCGAGGAAGATGCGCAAAGGAAGAGTGGCAGAATAGGACGTGTGAGACCAGAGACGGTGGTAGCCGGCGGTGATAGCTGGGCGTTTGTTAGCGGGAAGTCCTAGATAGCATTAGAGTAGTAGGTACTAACACAGGCCAGTGAAGAAGTCTATTGCATGTTAGCTGATTGCTTGCCAATTTGGTATGTGTGTGAATGCGGGGTGCATGTGCACGCGGGAATAGGGCTGCATACAGTAGATGAAGGCCCAGACGGCAGTCTTCCAGCACAGAGGGACGTAGAAGGCGGCGATACAACCCGAGAGCGGGATGAGGACGGTGAGGAAGACGTTCAGCCAATTGACATGCTTAGGCCAATTGTACTTGGTCATCTTGGTCTCGGTGACGTGCGCCATGGTGGCGGCGGGGATGCGAGACAAGAGAGGACAGACAAACGACAAAGTAGGAAAGAAAGGCGGACAACAGAGACAGAAACAGAAAGTCGATTGCTTGCTTGCGACGTCGTCAACCCAGCACCTGCACGCAACCTGAACCATATATATACACACACATCAGGCAGGCCAGGCAGCCAACAAGCCATGAATCCCATCTCTTACCACCATCTCACGACCGGGTTCAACAAAAACGCAAGAGATCCCAGAGAGTCTCGGCTCGCGTAGGCGTTCGTTGGGTGAAAAAATCTGGGGAAGACGGTACGGCCGGGCTGGAGGGCGGATCGGTGCTTTGCGGGCGGTCAGGCCACGCTGCCCCAACGAATTGCGCGTCACGCCATGCAAACACCACTGCGGCGAGTGGCCGGCCGATGGCGGATACTTATATCTTCGAATCGCCCGGTCGTCCGGTTGCTGACGGAGGATGGGCGGGGGCCTTCGCTGGGCGGCGGACTTGCTGGCCGTGACTGCTGCTGCTTTGCAGGGACGACGCGTGGCGACGCGGGGTGCTGGCGTGGCGTGTCTCACTCGCGCGTCGTCCGAAAAAATCGAGAGCCACCACGATCGATGATACGCGCAAGGCGGACGGCGATGGTGTTGGCGATGCAGATGCAACCCATGGCAGCTGGCCCCCCGCTTCTATGGACGTATCGCTACAGACTTCAGTGCGTATCGCAGGGCCGCGATAGGGGTCTAGATACATCATAGCTAGCCTGGTCCGCCCGTCCCCCTCGGACCGTCTGACCAGACGCGTTAGCGACACTGAGCGTAGGAACGGCCGTGACGAGACATGGTCTGTCAGGAGGTGCGGGGTCGAACAAAAAAAAAAAAGTAGGTGTGGTGTTGCTCGCTTCCATCCATTCCACGGATCCTACACGGAACAAACCTCGCAAACTCTCCCCCGCCGACGACATCATCACCGCGTCTATCGGCAGCCCCGGGCGGAAGTCGGCAGCGTAGACATGCCACACACTTGGGCACTTGGAATCGCAAGGCGGGAGGGCGGGCGCCAAGGCGGACGCCAAGCGGCAAGAGACCCTTTTTACAGGGCACAGACAGCCGCGCGGCCGGGGGGTGTGAGCGTCCTGAAACGGCATCCGACACTGACCACTTCACGGCCAGCAGCAGCAAAGAGTGCGAAGCTGCCAGATGGTCTATGGCCGCTTCTCCTCCCTTATGTCTCGCCCAGGGCGCTGCCCGCTCCCCACATGCACGCGTCCACCTTGCCAGCCCCTGCTGCTACTGCCCTCGGGCTTACGACGCCCCAGACCGAGAGATCCTCATTTCCATGGCTTCAACGCCCGGCTTCAATAAAACCCCTTCCCCGCCCACCCAGTCTGCCCCGCCATGAGCTGCTGCCCGTCGTCGCCCTCGTTGCAATTGCCCTTGCACTCGACCAAACCCTCCCATTCTTTTGCTCGCCGCCCGGGTTTATGATCGGCGTTAATCACTGACATATCCGCTTCTCCATGTCTTCTTTCTACTCGCGCGCGCTGTCTTTTGCTTCCCTGGCGTTCCTTTCGTTTGCCAATGCCGACTTGATTCCCTACATCCAGGACGAGGCCTACGACCGCGGCGACTTGGGCTCTTATCCGCTGCAGACCTACCGGAGCAGCAGTCTTAATGCCCCGCGCCCCAACATCCTTGCCTCGGACCGCAGCTGCGACGATGGCTCCTACATTTTCATGAACCCCCGCGGCCATCAGGTGCCCGACCCTAATCCTGTCATCCTCGATGGCGCCGGAAATCTGGTCTGGACCTTGCCTGGGAAACCGTACGGCCAAACGTACAACTTTAATGTCCAGGAATACGACGGCGAGCAGTACCTGACGTTCTGGGGCGGAGACGACGCCATCGGTGGTCATGGCCAGGGTAGTTATTATATGGTGAGTTCAGAGGTTCATCGACTACCTAGGTAGTGTTCGGCGCGGGCCGGCGTAGGAACTAGTACCTTGTCCGTGGCCTGAGCTCCAGCGACTGCTAACGCGCTCCAGCTCGACAAAACGTATACCCAAGTGCGCGAAATCAACGCAGTAGGACCAACTCCGGGCGACTTGCACGAGTTCCGCTTCACCAAAAATGGCACCGCATTAATGACCGTCTACGACGTGACCCCCATGGATCTTTCGTCGATCGGCGGGCCGGTCGAAGGCTGGGTGTGGGACGGCAGCATCCAGGAACTGGACTTACGGACGGGCGAGCTGATCTTCCAGTGGAAATCGACGTCCCACTACACCATCGAAGATGGGTACAACGGCTACGGTGGCGGCGGTGACAGCCCCTCCAGCCCCTACGACTACTACCACATCAACAGCATCGACAAGGACGACTTTGGCAACTACCTAGTCTCGGCGCGCTACACGCACTCGGTGACGTACATTGACGGACGCACAGGCGAGGTGCTGTGGCAGCTGGGCGGCAAGAGGAACAACTTTACGGACCTGACGGCCGGACGCGCGACCAACTTCGCGTGGCAGCACGACGCGCGCTGGCACGACAACCACACGACGATCACGCTGTTCGACAACGAGGCCGAGTCCGGGTTTGCGTCGGCGGACTTCTCGCGCGGCCTGAAGATCGAGGTGGACACGGAAGCAATGACGGCGTCGCTAGTGACCGAGTACATCAACCCGCAGCACATTCTCTCGTCGTCGCAAGGTAGCGTGCAGGTGCTGCCGAACGGGCACGTGCTGCTGGGCTACGGGTACGCGGGCGCCTTCACCGAGTTCAGCGCCAACGGCGGCGTGCTGTGCGATGTGCACTTTGGAGCGGCGTCGCGCTTCCAGTCGGGCGACGTGCAGAGCTACCGCGTGCTCAAGGGCGCGTGGACCGGGTTCCCCAACACGCGCCCGGACATCAAGATCGACGGCGAGAGCGTCTTCGTGTCCTGGAACGGCGCGACCGAGGTGCACCGCTGGGTGCTGCAGGACGCCGACCAGCCCGACGGGTACCACGGGGCGGGATCGTCGACGGCGCACGCGGGCAACGGCGCCACGAACGGGACGCTGGAAGACGAGGCAGCAGCCGAGATCGCCGCTTCGGAAGCATGGTACTCGATCGCGACGGTGGAAAAGGCGGGCTTCGAGACGGAACTACGCTTCGCGCCCGACACGGCGCGGCGCTACCTCCGCGTCGTCGCGCTCGACAAGCAAGGCCGCGTGCTCGGGGCCAGCCAGCCCGGGAGCTCGCGCTTCGACGTCATCAACACGGTACTAGACGCCCCCTCCCCGGCAGCAGCAGCGTTGCCGTCCCTCCCCTTCCCCAACTTCCCCAACGCCGCCCCGCCCAACCACGCCCCTGCCTCCGCCCCCTCCTTCTCCGCCTTTGCCTCTCTCCTTTCCTCGTACGCGGCTGCCACCGCCCGCCCTCCTTCTTCGGACCGGCTCGCTGACGCCCAGACGTCTTCTTCTCCGCAGACCGCGTCGTTCCTGACGGACTCGGCTGGCGCCGGCGCCGGCCCCTTCGCCTTCCTGCTCGGCGCCGCCGCCCTCTGCTCCCTCGTTGTCGGCGTCGTCTGTGCCGCGTTTGCGCGTGCCCGCCGCCGTGACGATGCCGCGTATCGCCGGCTCGTCGACGAGGAGGCGAAAGACGAGGTCCTGGTCGATGACGTCTGTGTCGATCGCAGGCTGTACGATGTCGAAGATGAGGAGGCGCGGAACGGCGCTGGTGTTGGGCGCGCGTGATGAGGGCTGTGGTGGTAATGGGTTGGGTTGTTGGGCTTGGGCGGGCTTGGGAGACTGGGTGGGCTTAGACGGGCATAGCGCTGGCGTTTATTTGTTTAGCAGGTTTTGTTTGTTGGTTAGGGTGGTTGCTTTTTTGGTGGATGGTAGTGGAGGGCTGGAGATTCGCGGAGATGGGATTTCATGAAGAGACACGTGACGGGACGAAGAAGGATGTTAATACACTGACTTAGGTATCTACGAACGAGTAAATATTGGACATGCCAACCTGTTTATGACGACGGCCGCACGCGGTGGGTTTGCAAGTTAGTTGTTTGCACTGGGTCATGATGCGATTATAATAAATCGACGAAAGGCAAATACGTCCTCCAGCTGTAGCTTACGGGTAGTAACAGCACTCACTCACCCAGACTATGCAAACTCACCCATATCTCGCAGCCCACTTGCATAAAAACAGTTGATTCAGAGCCTGCCCTTTGCCTTCGCTACAAGCCAAAGACTGGCATTTAACGCGCAAGCTCCGAGCTGGCATCCTGATCAGTACAGTGGTAGTCACATTCGAGATATGGAAAATGTGGTGGCGGGGTGGCGTTGTCAACTATATACGCCAAGCGCTTGTTCGCTCCGAGCTACTCTCTGGCTTACAGGTGTGCTGTTTAACTTCACTATTGAGCACCACCGCGGAATGTCGCTGATGGACGGTGTTGCTGGTTGCTGGTGTTGGATGTCAGCTTCGATGGTAATATTTTCCTCTGGCGTTGCTGGAAGTCTACCTACTAGAGTCTGAAAGCGAAAAGGACCTATCAGAAGGCTTTTGACAACTTATTCATTCCCAATCTCCAAAGCTGTATCTTCGGAGAATGGTTTAACGTTGAGCTAAGTTCATGCTGATGGTGGAGAGGGAGGGCTTCTGTATATATATGCTTGTGAGGCGAGACCTGCGAGGAAGTATATAGCATACTCGGATGTGCGTCGTAAGCTGCTGTTGAAATCTAAGATCTTTAATAACTAATTTGTTTTCTATGGATGCTTATACTGTGGATACTATCGGGCTTGATGGCCTAAAGACCACATGCGGAATTAGCTACTGCGAAACATTTGTGGACTTCGGATAAAGTTTTGGAAGGTCATTTCCTTAATATGATCATCGCACTCGAGGACCTTGGGGTTTTTGAGCGTCCGGGTTTGTCTACCGCAAGCCAAACACAGGCGAGCCGCTGTGAATACATGAACATGCACATTTTGTGGTCAGAGACGCGAACAGCCACAACGAGGCCTTCTCAGTGCCTTATCGCCGTTACTATGGAAAGAATATAGGAAGAAAAGGCAAGTGCAGTATGCGGAATAGTTGCAATTGCTGCAGAGATCGGGGACATCGTTGATCCTAAAGAATTGTTTGATTTTGTCGACGAAGATGAGGGTAAAGGAAATAAAAGACGGTCTATTCGCTAAGACATTCTTTTAGTTTGCTTGATGCTCACAATAAGTACTGCTTATCAAGGATCAGCCTCAACTATCATAAATCTCGCTAGTCATCACCGGCCGTGGATTTTATGCTAAAATTTTGTGTCTGCGGTCTCTGATAACTTACGTGGATGTTCCGTCCTCTTCGAGTCTATTATAGAGTCTAGCCACAATTAGTGGTTTTCCCGATGCGTTGAAGATACCTTCCAAGGGCTTTGTCAAGGAAATAATATTCTTGGAGAGGGGCTTGTCCAATATGATCACTGCATTACTATACAGTTATCTTTCGATTAAAAGCGCTATTCAGCCCAGCAAGATATAAAGCTTTATGCTACGCAATGGATATTACTCCAGCGCGGTTGTGGCAGCTCGCGTTGCTGTAGTCATTATGGAAGCAGTCGTAGCTAGGCGGAGGCGCGGAGCCATAGCTGCGGGGGAAGCCGCGAGGGCAACGCAAAACCGCTGCTGTTAACAGCACCACAGGTTTCTAGGCTCGTTACCGAGTCGCCTCTTTATCCTACACTCCGCTGATATAAATATTATAGAAGAGCCTGTCGGCATTGTTGCCCATTTTATTTCCAATTCCGCGCGCTCAATGTCCGGGCATAGTGTGTCGCAGCAAAAGAGCCAAGTACAAAACCATAACAAATAACAAAATGTCAGCCAGGATCACTCCGATAACTCTCGTTTTTTCCAGCCTTATTACAGTCAGTTGTTACACTACAGCCTTACCCCTTACACCACACGTTTATCCACTGCAAGGGAATAAGGATCTTAAAGAGAAAACGTGTTCTTTTAGATAGCAGCATATATACCTCTATAGGTAGTAGTAATTTAGAAGGACAAGCGGCGTCCAATTCCTCGCGCCCAGCTTCACACAAAAAGTTTTATAGCGTTATAGCTGTTGCATGAGAGCATATAGTGGAGGGCGAGACTGCTCTAATATGTTTGTGGGGAAGCATCATTTGTTGGCTACGCTAAATATCTTCTTAATAGTGGCACTACACCCTTCGGCATTTGAACTAACTATCCACACCGAATTGCTACAGTCATCATATACTTTATCAGCCACGAAGCCCACACGTAAACCCTTCATCCCCACACCAATCCGTCTTTCATCTACCTATGGAAGCCATCATCCCCATGTCACTGTGATACGTCCAGCCCAACAACGTACCATTTACCACACCGTATGAGGCATCCACTGGTCCCCGCGCTCGACTCCTTGGTTACACAGCACAAGCCTTCATCGCTGCCCCAGAAAGATATAACGGGGTGGTGGCTCACAACCACACGCATCCCTACGCACCATTTCGTCAATACACACAACAGGCACTAATCAAACTCTCTTAATCACTCAACTGGTATACTGAAAGCCCAAACCCCAATCCCGACAAATACATTCAGACGGAGACTTTCGCCGAAAATAACCAAAGCTAAACACCCAAACGCCTCTGCTGGTCCATAATACCACACCCAAGCACCTGATCAAAAAAGTGACGATAGTGAAGCATGATCCCAATAACAAACCGCCACGCACATTCAAGAATCTCACCGCGGCCCACAGCCTCTGTAAAACAAGTTTGCGAGCTGGAAACCATCTGGAACAGTGCCGCGTCCAGAGGCTCATCGCCGACCTTCTCTTTCCCCGCTATCCAGCAGCAAATACCGGTTGCCCAGCTCGAGCAAAACAGCTCCATGCTCCTGACCAGTGGTTTAGGGATCTCCAAGCTGCATGGATGCTCGGCGGCGAGCGCCAGCATCAAACCCTGCACTTCGCGGCCCCAAGCGGCGAGGCGTTGGGGTGTGATACTGAGGGTGAAAAGGCACTTGCACCCCTGCCGGAGGATGCTGTTGGTTTGGGTTTTAAATGCGGTTGTGTAGGCATCCAAGGTATTCTGTAAGCTTTGCGCTTTGGGCGAAAGAGCGCGATAGGTGCTGGTGGGCTTGGTGCGGCAGATGGGGCAGGTATTGTTGGCACGATTCTCGGTCTTTTGGAACCAGCTGGTGATGCACTCGTAGCCGAATACATGTCCGCAGCTCAAGGTGACTGGGATGGCACAGTACATCTCCGTGCCGGAGGTGGGTTTTGGATTGTTGGTCCAGACGCGTCGACGATCAGCCACGGCGTATTCGAGGCATTGCAGGAAGTCCTCCTCTTTATAATGAGGGTGGTTGGATACGAGCGGCTTCATGCAGATGACACAGCCGTTCCCTTTGTTGGCCTCTGCAATCATGCCGGGCGTAGCCGGACAGAGGAGATCGAGGTGTGTGCTGGTACGCATCATTTTTGTAGGCTGGGTACAGTTTTTGCTGGATATTTGAGAGCTTGATTCGAGATTTAGGACTTTGGATAGTTTGAGGTATTTGGTGTTGTGGCTGAAAGCTTGAAGAGTGTTGTCGAAGTGGTTTCCCTGTCTGGAGGTATGTTAGATGATCGGGTGACAACATCGTGGGAGAGCTAGAAGGTATTTATCCTCTGTATGTGGAGCTGGTCAAATGTTGAATCGGATTTCCAGTTCCCAGATGGTAGGGCACGATCACCACAGGTCTTTGTTGATGTTTTGGCCGAGTGACAGTGCAGTGGTTCCCATTGCGAGGAAGCCACGGTTCGGTGCCGTTTTACCACAAATTCCCCGATCTAGCAGTTTTGACTGACAGATACGTACTTTAATATATATTCCCCATGCCCCTTTTCTTTTCCTTTCTTTTCTTCCTTTATTAGAACCTCTACAGTACGAACAGAGAGCACTACCTCCGAAGCTGCCTCGTAATCAAGAGATATACTTCCGACCTTCAACTTTTAACTTCACGACATCGTCTCTCGCGGACACAACTTGGACTTGAACGCCACCAACTAACAACCAAAGCTATACATCAACCTTTTAACCCTCCAAAATGCCCAAAAAGCCCACAAAATACCCTGCGAAGGGCCTTACTATCGAAGAGCTTGTCCTACCAGTATCCGTAGCCAACCTGAAAGAAAAAGGCAAAGACTGCTGCAGCATTTGCCTGGACGAGTTTCTTGAACACACAGACTCAACCGAGCCGCCTGAGACAACATGCAAGGACCCCGTAAAGCTCAGCTGTGGCCATACCTTCGGACACGACTGCATCCAGGCCTGGTTCTACACTCAAGACGAGTACAAGCTAAATTGTCCATACTGCCGCGTTAAGCCCCGGACTGTCTGCACCATCACCTCTCCCGAGATCAACATGATGGAACACAAGGTGATAAAGTACCGGTTGGCATACGACGCCTACTTTAAAAACGGCGCGCGGGATCCTAACATTGATATCTCGCCTGCACTTCTCCGTATATGGGGCGAAAGGGCGTCAGAAACCCTCGAACATCGCGTCTCCCTGCGGCCCTTCTTACTCCAAAGACCTCACCTATATATGGATTTGGAGCGAATTTTCTTCAAAGAAATTGAAGACGTCTGTACGAGGTTAGGCTGGAAAGAGCAGGGGCCACGCAAGCCTTCGACAACGAAAACCGTCAACACCAATGAGCTGGTTTCCGTACTATGCAATTTAATAGTACCTGCTCTTCAACCGGAGCTTAATCTGAACATCCTCAACCATGCGGTTCACCTTTTCGGTGATTTCTTGATCATGGTTGTTGGCAAGGCCTTGGAGGAAAACTCGAGAGTTCAATAGCTTCGTCTCATGGACATAAAATTTCTTAGTTGGTTAGCATTTTTAGTTACTGTCGTCTGTCATTCAAAACTTCTTTAGTTGATTAGCATTGTTAGTTAACGTCGCTTTTCATTATCACTGTTATTTCAAAACTTATTTCCTCTACAAAGCTTGAATTCTCAATATGCTTGTACCTCTGTCTCTTTTCAACCTGATCTCTGGAAAGCTTCTGGACATCATGACAGGTCTGGGGAAGAGCCGGGATATTGTTCTGTCAGCGATATGAGAGTCCTTCCAAGTGTTTAGTGTTAACTTAGCTATCATATAAGCGAGATGTGCTTTAAAACGTTGAAAATTCTTTTTTCCATATCGACCGAAATCGTCCAAGTTGTATGAGTTCTAAATCTGAGCACATTCAGTGACAGTACGACATAGATAAAGATCCAACAACCCCCTTTAACACATCCACAAGCCCTCAAAAAGTCCAAAATCCGAAGCTAATCAGTCAAACACAGTCCACCAGTCCAGTCCGCCCAACACCAGCAACAACTGCACTTCACCAGACAAAGCGCGCCCCAACACCGACCAAACCACCCAGTCAACATTCGCACAACGCGTCCACAATAGCAAACCGTGGATCCATGTGTGCTGTTGTGGCGAAAGCGTAGTCTTGCGTGTGGAGTTGCGTGTGGAGTTGCGTAGCAGACGCGTGGCGTCTATCGGGTTAGGTTTAACTTTTAAGAGATGGTGTTTAGCTTTGGGGATCCATAGTTTAGTGTTTTTTACCTCGACACCGTGTTGGGAATTATGCTAAGGCCTCGTGGTGCGGTCGGTTTGGCCTGACTGGGTTTGTTCAACTCTGTGTTAGACGTGCTGGATCGTGGCTAAGTAAACGAAGGCCATGTCAGTTAGCCTGCTAGGTGCGTTGAGCTGGGCTATTCCGCATGCTGGTTAGAAGACGAAGTCTAGGGAAAGGGACTTAGAAAACCACTCGTTGACGTTGGAAAAGTAATAGAGTCGGAACAGCTGCTGCAGTTTGGGGAAGGAGTTCAGATGTAAGGTGCAGATTATGAAGGAAAGAACCGAAAGGACATCGCGCCTTTGCGTCTCCAATACCCTCTCACCACCATCAGTTACAGGAAATCAAGTCCTGCAACCACAATCAGCGCCCACAAAACCAGAGATATTTGCCACTCTCCTCATACTCACATCTCACAAGACATCAACCAACCACAAACGCCCACAACACTCACTCAGCAGCACAAAAGTCCGTTAATGGATGAGCTGGTTAAGCAGCTTGTCATCAATTCACATCGTCTATCTCATTCATATTTTCCATCAGCCCTCATCAAAAGAAGACGAAAAAAACGCCGCATATCCTTTCCCACCAAAGAACACCCTATCAATCATGCGTGGCCGTTGAAGCCAAACCCAGCCCCCGTTCATTTTTGTTGAATCCCTTCCTTTTTATCCGCTATCGCTACAGTTGATGCGCCAAAACAAGCATCCTCTATCCGAGGACACCAATCAAGAAACTGAATATCTCTTCTCAAACACCGTCATGCCAATAGTCTGGCATTTAGACGGGCAGAGGGAAGGTGCTGGCCCAGCCGGCGATCTCCTGCTTGAGGCTGTTGATCTCGTCGACCTCGCCCGAGGCAACCTTGGCCTTGAAGTCCTTGAGCTTGTTGGCCTCCTTGGGCAGCTCGCCCTGGATCTTCTGGGTAAGCTTGATGCAGGTGTCGATGTACTGAGCGATGCGCTGGAAGTCCTCCTCGCCGAGGCCACGGGAGGTCATGGCGGGAGCGCCAATGCGGATACCCATGGGGGTCAGGGCGCTCTTGTCGCCGGGGGTGGTGTTCTTGTTGCAGGCAATGTTGACCTGCTCGAGGATGGCCTCGATACGGGCGCCGTCGAGCGCCAGGGGCTTCAGGTCGAGCAGAACCATGTGGTTGTCAGTGCCGTCAGTGACGAGCTTGTAACCCAGCTCCTTGAACTTGACCTCAAGAGCCTTGGCGTTCTTGATGACCTGCTCCTGGTACTTGCGGAAGTCGTCGCTCTGCGCCTGCTTAAGGGCGACAGCGAGAGCAGTGATGGTGTGGTTGTGGGGACCACCCTGGTGGCCAGGGAAGACGGAGAAGTTGATGGGACCCTCAAGGTCGTAAAGGACCTCCTTGCCGGTCTTAGCGTCGGTCTTACGGACACCCTTGCGGAAGAAGATCATGGCACCACGGGGACCACGAAGGGACTTGTGGGTGGTGGTGGTGACAATGTCGCAGTAGGGGAAGGGAGAGGCGTTGACGCCAGCGGCAACGAGACCAGAGATGTGGGCCATGTCCATCATCAGGTAGCAGCCGACCTTGTCCGCGATCTCGCGCATGCGCTTGTAGTCAATCTCGCGGCAGTAGGCGGAAGTACCGGCGACAAGGACCTTGGGGCGGTACATGAGGGCGTTCTGCTCGAGCTGGTCGTAGTCGATCAGACCGGTGTCGAGGTTGACGCGGTAGGGGAAGGTCTCAAAGTAGGTCGAGACGGCGGAGATCCTAAACAGTCGTTAGCACATGCTAAAAAAATTCATACCTCAGGAATGCACCTACTTCTTCTGGGGGGTCTGGTAACCGTGGGACAAGTGACCACCGTGGGGCAGGTCAAGACCCATCAGCCTCTCGTGGGGCCTCATGATGGCCTGGTAGACCTGGAGGTTGGCCGGGCTACCGGACAAGCACTGGACGTTGACGCCCCATTTCTCGGAGTCCAAGCCGAAGGTCTGGAGGGCGCGAGCTTGGCAAGTAAGCTCGATGGAGTCGATGTGCTGGTTGCCACCGTAGTAACGAGCACCAGGGTAACCCTCAGAGTACTTGTTGGACATGGGCGACCCCAGGGCGTCGAAGACGGCGCGGGAGGTGACATTTTCGGAGGCGATGAGGAGGATGGACTCGCGCTGGCGCTGAATCTCCTTCTTCTGCGGTGGTTGTTAGCATTGGCTGTCGGCGGCCTCCGACAAAGAAGCTTGAGCTCGTACCATAATCTCCGCAATCTCGGGGTCGGTCTCCACCAGGGACTTCTCCATGAGCTGCCTAGTGTGTCAGCAAGACGATTCAATGCGGGAGACGGAAGCTACTGACGTCCTGGTGGGACTTGGGCAGGGCGTAGGAAGACATGATGGCAGAGGTGAAGGCGTGAGTGCGGAAGGAAAGAGGAATGTGGTGAGGAAGTGGTGGATGCAGTCAGAGAATTTGAAGAGGAGCTTTGGCTACTGCGGCTGCCCCGCGCTAGCGCAAAACAAAAAAATCCTAGGGACCTCACTACGCGCCGATCGCGGACCTCATTCGCGTGCAACAACACGCCGAACCGCCTTGGAACGCCGACCGCGCTTCAGCTCATCATCCATCTTTTCTTCGCGTACTGGCGCGTCTCTAGCGTCTGTCAAGAATCTGACAGCCCGGAGCTGCTTTCGGCCGTGCTCTACCTTGCGCTACGTCTCGAAGAGTTTACCTACAGTTGCACAAGTCCTCCGGCGACATCATCTGCTATTTTTACCACAGTCGACAACACAACTCTCTGGCTTCTGCATTGCAATATTCATTCCTGGCTCGGTCTTCGCCGCGGCACGGGTAAGCTCGGCATACGCCACGCTCGTGGCCAAGGACATATTGCGCGTCTCTCACCAATCGAGTGGCGCAGAAAGACTGCGGCTGACCGAAAGTGGCAAGGCGACGCCCCCAAGCACGACACCGTTGGGTGGTGTCGTTGGCAGATTGGACCCTTGCAGCCACCCGTGGATCCCCTTTTCAGGCACTGCTATGGTTGCTTGCCAGCAGAATGGGTGGCCCGTCGGGATGGCCGTTCGCTTACATCTTGTGCGACGTGAGACGCGCGCCGGTGAGGTCGCATGCACATGGTCGAGGCTCGTGACAGTCGGCTTGCACTGTTCAGACGGCTACTGGTATGGGGCGGGCAAGATTGGGTTTGGGAGCTGGTGTGCATCAACGGCGATCTCCTTTCCCCGGGCCAGGCCAGACCTGCCCACAGCTTTGATGATGCCGAAGTAGAAATGGGGCCTTGCCGCCGCTCGGAATCCTCTTGAATGCCATCTACACGACATTGCTGTGTTTGCCCGCAGCGTTGCAATCGAGCAATCGAAAATCGCCGTCGCTCCCTCGCACTACCCGGCAACGTCGGCACGGATTTGCCGTGCCACGGGCCACCTTGTCGTCAGCACCCGAAGAAGCAGCTTCAGCCCTACCGTACAAGTCCAGCGCAGCGTCAAGCGGGGTGCTTTGTCTCTCATCCCTCGCCATCTCCCTTAAAACTCTCCTTCCGCCGCAGATACCTTTTGCTTTTGCGTCGTCTCATAGCGCTGATCTTCTGGAGTCAGCACTAACCGAGCTCACTCGACCCCGCGACTTACGCGCCGATACCTGCGTCACCACAACACCGCCGTCATGTCCTATTATCCCGGCCAACAATACCACCAAGGCGGATACGGTGCGCCTCCACCGCAAAACTACGGTGCTCCCCAGGGCTATCCTCCGCCGCAGCAATACGGACCGTAGGCGCTCTCGTTTCGTATTCCCGGCGCTGCTGCCCAATCTAACCCTACTCCAGACCTCAAGGGCAATACGGCTACAGTCACTCGCCTCAACCTAGCTATGGCTACGGAACACCCCCTCCGGCGCAGTATGGTGGATATCAGCAGGTACGAAAGCAGACGGGAGAACAAAGGTGTGGACTCTTATATGTGGCAGGCACCTCCACCACAGCAGTACGGCGGCGGCTACGAAAACGGCGCACCGGCTCAGTATGGAGGTACGGACAGATCTCTGACCTCTTCGGTCGGAAAAAAGCTCGTGACCCTAGCTAAAAACCGCCTCTCAGGCCCTCCATCAGGCAACATGGGGGGTTACGGCGCGCCTGCGCCTCCCCCGCAGCAAGCTCAAGCTTTTGGCCACGGTGCGCCTTCTGGCTACTCGTTCCAATACTCGAACTGCACTGGCCGCCGCAAGGCGTTGCTGATCGGTATCAACTACTTTGGACAGCGCGGTCAGCTGCGAGGCTGTATCAACGACGTCAAGAACATGAGCACGTATCTCAACCAGCACTTTGGGTACAAGAGAGAGGATATGGTGCTTTTGACTGATGATCAGCAAAACCCCATGTCTCAGCCTACGAAGGCGAATATTCTGAGGGCGATGCACTGGCTAGTCAAGGACGCTCGGCCCAACGATTCTTTGTTCTTCCACTATTCAGGTAGGCAACCTTATATCCGGGGACCACGAGAAGCTTCGAGTACAGAAGACAAAGAAAATGAGCTTCAAAATTTGACTATCAACAGGACACGGAGGCCAGACGAAAGACCTGGACGGCGATGAAGAAGATGGCTACGATGAGGTCATCTACCCCGTCGACTTCCGCTCAGCCGGCCATATTGTAGACGACGAAATGCACCGCATCCTTGTGTCGCCGCTGCAGCCCGGCGTCCGGCTCACCGCCATCTTCGACTCGTGCCACTCTGGCTCCGCGCTTGACCTGCCGTACATCTACTCCACCCAGGGTGTACTCAAGGAGCCCAACCTTGCCAAGGAAGCGGGGCAGGGCCTTCTTGGCATTGTGTCATCCTATGCGCGCGGCGACATGGGCGGCATCGCGGAAACGGCGACCAGGTTTTTCAAGAAGGCCACGAGCGGCGGCGATGTGTACCAGCGCAACTTGCGCACGAAAACGAGTCCCGCCGACGTCATCATGTGGTCCGGGTCGAAGGACACGCAGACGTCGCAGGACGCGAACATCGGCGGCGAGGCGACCGGCGCGATGAGCTGGGCGTTCGTGACGGCGCTGAAGAAGAACCCGCAGCAAAGCTACGTCCAGCTCTTGAACAGCATAAGAGACGAGCTGTCGACCAAGTACACGCAGAAGCCGCAGTTGAGTTGTAGCCATCCGTTGAGTAAGTTTTGCTTTTTTCTCTCTTTTCCGCTAGCGCGTTTTCGCGTGCTTTGAGCGGTGTGTGCTGACATCCGCGCCTGCAGATACAGACCTGTTGTATGTCATGTAGACGAACCGGAGCTTCTCCTCTTTCCTGCGGACGGAGAGCAAGACAACAAACATCTAGCCGATGCATGCACGCGTTTACGAGATGGGAAAATATGTAAATAGGCAGCGACGCGCGGGCCCAATCGGCTTGGCGACGGGTGGACAGGTATTCTGCACCGGATTGGCTGCAGTAGTGTCGTTGGACTTTCTTTTTGGCGTTTGTCGTGCTACAGATTTTTTGACGGCGGTTAGGTGGCGAGCTTCATGCGGCGGACGGACGGGATCTTTCATCCACTGCTTCTTCTGCATCGCAAAAAGGGCTTGTGCCGACATAGCGTTAATCGGCGGCTTCATTCGCTTGTAGAGCTGTTTGGGCGCTGTCGTTAGCGGGGGTCTGCGGACCTGTGCAGCTTGGGATTGCATTGAACCTGTTTAAAAAGAAAGCTCGCGGGTATATATTTCGGCTGTGGCATTATTGTTCAACTGTTGTCGTTGACATGTTATCGCGTGAGTTGCCGCTCTCTGTACCGAGTCCGGAAACGGGGTTTTAGTAGGCGTCGGCTCAAAAGCTTATATGTAAGTGAGTGCAGCTTCGTATTTATAACCACACTCCTAGCATCCTGGTTAAGATGAGCGCGCCATGACGTGCATGCCACGTATATGCAGGCATGTGTGCTGTGTGTGCATAGGAGATTAGACTTAGATTGGGTCGTCGGCGTTGCACGGCAGGGCGTTTTATTTGCTCGAATGTCGCCGAAAGCGAGCGAGTGTGTGGGTGGGTGGGTTGCTGGTTATCTCTCCGATGGCGAGGGCTGCTGCGTCAGCACTTGTTTGGGTGGTTGCGGCTTGGTTTGAGATGCCGATAGCAGAGTTATGTCTGTTTGAGGTTTGGGTTTGGGTTGTTGTCTGCGGGAAAGGGAATGGGGACTGGTAAGAAGGTCGTATGAATAAATATTATTCACGTAGATATGTATTACTTTTTGCTTCTATTGGCTTTTTTTTTTTTTTTTTTTTTTTTTTTTTTTCATAAAGAGAAATAAAATGTTTATTTATATCATATGCGCTAGATATCGTAAAAGTAGAAAGCACATAAGTAAAAGCGAATAACTTAAATCTCTAATATATCTATAGTATAGCTCTAGATTACTTACCTACCTTAGATATTTTGCTTACCACACGTGCAGATGTAACTGTAAGAGCATTTAATTTACCTTATACTTAGATTATATACATCTATATGTCTTCATAATTATCTCTATACCCTTAAAATATAATTACTGTCATACTTTAAAAGGATACTAGAGTACTTATAAATATGTATACCTTCGTATATTATTATTACATACTATTATATAGTATCTTTTTACTTTTGTCAACTTACCTAGCGCCTCTAGCTGTAACGTGGTAGTTAGCTATATCTACCCTGTAGGCATAGTAGATGAAAGAGTAGGCAAAATATGTAGAAGGAATAGATAGGTATATTACCCAGAGCCCTATCGCACACAGTCACCCAGCGACAAGTATACTGCATCGCCAGGTGCCTAAGGCCCTGTCGGGAGAAGCATACCGCATACCGAACATAGCGTTGATTTTTCCAAATTATCTGCGTCCGGACTCGACGGTGCCGGAGCCCGCAGCCACCAGGTCGCGTATGTACCAAGACGAGGTGCTGTTTGTAAGCGGAAACGATATACCACTCTATTATCGCACGGGTGTTGTCTCAAGAAGCAAGGAAGCGGCATAGCTGCAGCCTGGAGGGCGACACCGGGGTAGAGGTTGCGGGCGGGCATTGACACTTGATTGGGAGGCATACATCTGCAAGGTAAACCGAGTGGTTAATAGCCAAGAAGCAGGATTTCTGTCGAGAGGTGGTCAATGAGTTTCAGGCAGAGTAACATCATGGAGTTAGGAAGGCGATGCCGCTATCATGGAAGCGGTCGAAAAGCTTTCCGGGTAGGCAGAGCGCACCTAGCCCTCAATAAACCGACCACGCCCGCCGACATGACTGAACGATACCTCCCCCCCCACGACACACTCTCAGGCCAGACACCTCAAAAGCCCAGAAACGCGCCTCCGCAGCCCCCGAAAACCATGGTCCGGCAGCGAAACACCCAACCCAGCGCCAAGCACACACAACGGGCGGTGATCCTTTGTCCTCAACTTGCAGGCAGGGGCACCGTTTTCATCTCTTTGAAAGCGCATCCCGCAGGCTCAAAGGCGTACCGTCGCCGGAACCAGGTGCGCAACAAAGGGCATTGGGGCCATGGGCGCGCGCGTGCTTTATAACGCGCTTCGAAGCAAACCTCCCGCCTTCTCTCTTCTTCACCACCACCACAGCACCAGCACGTTCGACCGGCTTCTTGCAAGAGACACAAACACAAACAGCAGCACCAGCACCATGGGCCGAGTGACTAGAGCGAATAAATACCCCTCCCCGTCGTTGGAGGACGAGGGCAATTCGAAACAGAAACAAAAACCGAAACCCAAGGCGAAGAAAAACTCAACGCAAAGCGGCGGCGTGAAGAAGAAGAAGCCCTCGGCAAAGAAACCGTCTAAGAACACGCGCGCGGTCAAGTGCACAGTTAACCCACGCGCCGAAGACGAGGCGCAGAGGGACGACGAGGCCATAGAAGAGGGCGAGCACGACAACAGCAACAACGCCAACAACGCCGCCACCAACAACCACAACAACCCCCGCTTCGGCGCCTACTACGTCGCCACCGCCAACCCCGCGCCCCCTCGGGGCCGACACCGTAGCGAATCCGCCTCCACGATCGCAAACACGGACAACAGCCCCGACAACAGCCAGCTGCAGCGTCACCTCACGGAATCCGCCTCCACAATAGCGAACACGGACAACAGCCCCGACAACAGCCAGCTGCGGCGGCACCGCACCGAGTCGGCGAGCCCGCGCCCGCGGCCGCAGGACGACGACAGTGGCCCAGCGCTCAGGCCGGGCGTTGTCGATCGGGCAATCCCGCTGAGCGAGCAGCATCTTGCCGACTATCCGCTTGTGTCGACCGCGGGCATTCATATGTCGCCCGGGACGCGGAAGCGGAGGAGAGAGGAGGCGGAGGAGGAGGAGAGGAAGGGGGAGGCGGATGAGGCATGGCTGCGGGAGGAGGTGCGGCGGCAGCAGGAAGAAGAGGATGAGTTTGCAGAAGAGGAGGAGGAAGAGCAGGAAAAAGAAGAAGAGGAAGAAGAAGAAGAAGAAGAAGAAAAGCAAACAAACAACCCCGCTGCTCCTCCCCCTGGCAATCCACCTCCACCACCTCGCCGCACCATGCCCCGGCGCAGCCCGCACCAGCTCCCAAACTACCCTCTCGTCAACACGAACTGGGCGGCGTGGGACGTGCAGCGGCAGGAGCGGGAGAGGCGGGAGCGGCGAGAACAGGGAGAGCAGCGAGGACAGCGAAATGTGTTAAGGCGCCGACAGCTGCAAGAACGGCTGCGAGAGCGGGCAGAGCAGCAACGATTGCGAGAGCAGACTGAGCAGCAACGGCTGCGAGAGGAGCAAGAGCTGGCAGAGCGGCAACGACTGCGAGAGGAGCAGGAGCAGGCAGAGCAGCAACGATTGCGAGAGCGGGCGGAGCGGCAACGACTAAGAGAGGAGCAGGAGCAGGCTGAGCAGGCTGAGCGGGCAGAGCGGCAACGCCTGCGAGAGCAGCAAGAGCAGGAAGAGTCGGCAGATCAGGCCTTGCAGCATGTGCTGCAAGAGCAAAGGATGCTAGACCGGCAACGGGCAGAGCGGCAACGATTGCGAGACCGGGAAGAGTCGGCTGAGCAGGCCTTGCAGTACGTGCTGCGAGAAGAGCAAAGGCTGCTAGACCTAGACCAGCAACGACTGCGACAGCAGGCAGGACAGCGAGTGCTGCGACAGCAGGCAGGGCAAAAGGCGCAATTCTACTCCAAGTTAGAGCGCGAGCGGCAGCAGCAAAAGCAGCAAGAAGCAGCCGACTGGGCGCGTGTGCGCAAGGAGCAAGACCGCGAGTCCTCCCCCACGCGCAGAATCCAGCTTGCGCTCGAGCAGCAACTGGAGCACAACCGGCGGCGAGCGGCGTACATGGCGCGGCTCGAAAGGGAGGACTACCACAACGCCGACGCCGAAGACGCCGACGCCATTTCCGCGCAGTTCCGCCTGCGTGCGTACACGGGCGAGCAGGCCCGCGATACCCGCGTCGTGCTGCACCCGACGCTGCCGGCGCTGCTGGCAGAGTTCGTCTCGCACAAGCGCGTGTACGGCTCGTTGAAGGAGCGCGCGCATTACGGGCAGGCCCGCTGGCAGCGCTGGGAAGAGCTGGTGCCGCAGCTGGTGCAGAAGCGGGCGGTGGCGTACAGCGAGCAGGACGGCGCGACCATGACGCGCGACGTCGAGCTCATGGAGCCCTCTGTCGCGAAGGCCGAGTGGGCGGTGCTGGGGCGCAAGGGCGAGAAGAAACGCAATACCCTAAGGCTGGGCAGCTACCTCAGCTACGACGAGCAGTTCCTGTCGGCGCTGCTGGTCGTGTCGGGCCCGGTTACGCTCGTCGGCACCGGCTCTGGCGCCTGCGAGCACGACGCTATTGCGCTGCAGATGTGCGCGCCGCGCCTCGAGCTGCCCGCCGAGATGGACTATGCGGTCATGGCGGACCGGCAGGCTGTCAATGTCAGCGACGGCATGCACCCGGACCTGCGGTACAAGGCGCGCGAGTGGCTGGGCGTCGCGCAGCCGCCGCTGGTGGCCGCCGCAGCAGGAGGAGGAGGAGCCGCCAACCCAGCCACAACGCCGCGCGCCATGGCGTACATAGCGCGGCAGCGGCTGCTATTCGAGACGGTGCTGCTGGAGGCATCCACGCGGGCGCGCACGGCGGGCAAGCGCGCCTGGCTGCGGCTTACGGACCCGCCGGCGCCGGTGCCCCTGCCCACCGAGGAGAGTCTGGAGCGCAACGTCGAGCCGCGCTCCTCGAGCGAGTACGCCGAGTTCTACATGGAGGCGCTGACGCGCGCGCTGCGCAATCTCGTGCGCCTCCCGCATGTGGCCGTGCTGGAACTGACGCACTTCTTGAAGCCGACGGAGAGGCGCGTCAGCGAGCTCCGCACCGCGGCCGCCGAGCATGCCGTGCGTCTCGTGTTTAGCTGCCGGGCTGTGGGCGCGCGACTGCTGCGGCGGAGGGAGGATAGGGGTGAGAGTGAGAGTGAGGACGGGGAGGAGCAACAACAGGAACGGCCGAGGAAGAAGCAACGGCGAACCAAGTCCGCAGAGAAAGAGAAAGAAAAAGAAAAAGAAGACAACGACGACGAGGCATTGCGCAAATACCTCCTCGTCGTCACCTACACCAACAACGGCAACTCCCTCCCCGGCGGCCTCCCCTACTGGGCCCCGCCCACGGGCTCGCAGCCCAAGCACCCGCTCACAGCCGCGCAAAGCGCCGCCCTCGCCCTCGCGCACAACAGCAACCTCGCCCGTGTCCACAACCCGCTCTACAACAACGCCTTCAGCACGCGCATAACCGTGCTGCACACGCCCTCGCTCCCCCCACCGCCACTCATCACACGGCCCATCGCGGTCCCCCCTCCCCACCCCTCCCTGACGACGCACCACTGGCTTGCGCGCCTGCACACCCACCCCGCCCTCTTCCCGCTCCTGCCCCAGCGCGCCCACCCCTTCGCCCTGCCCCAGCCCCCCTACCTCCGCCCACCTTACCCCGTCCCCCACCTCGCCGCCCAGGACGCCCTGCAGAACTACATGCACGCCCCGCCCGCAGACCTGGTGCGGCACAGCGCGGTCCTGCACGAGCACCGCCCCGCCTTGGACCAGCGGCACAGACGCACCCTGTTCGTGGCGGCGCTGGGGGCGGGCGCCGGCGTCGTGCCCGTCACTGCTGACGCCGCTGCCGCTGCCGCTGCGACGGGGCAAGCGCCGCCGCAGCCCCTCCCCGCTGTCCTCAGCGGCGCAGCAGCCTCCGTGCTCGTCACCGAGGCCATGCGCGCGCACCTCGGCGCCGCGGCCACGACGTCCGGCCGGCCGTGGGCGGGCTGGGACAACGTGCCTATCATCACTGACGCAGCAGGAAGCGTAAACGCAGGCACGCACGCCTACCCCGCCGCCGACGCGAACCCCGCCTCCTGGCGCGTGTACCGCAACGCCGCGCTGACACTCACGCACACGTCCCACGCATCCGACGTCGCCACCGTCCCCGGGGCTGTGCTTATCGCCGTCTCTACGGCAAAAGTAACACGGCGCGTCGACCCGGCCACTGCGGCAGCGGTGGAAGATCTCTGGAAGCGCGGGGGCGGGGTGGAGCGGGTTCGGCGAGAGGCCGAGGACGAGAGGCGCGCGGCCGCGGCCGACGGGCGTGCGCCCGAGAGGCAGAGCCAGAGCGGCGCCGCCCGGGGAGAGACAAGGACGGTGCACGAGGAAGTCTCGCTGCGCGTCATGCTCTGGGCGGGCGAGGCGCGGACGCAGGGGCTCTGGGGCAGCGGGGTGTGGGTGCGCGCGTGGGAGGAGGAGGTGCCGGGGGCGAGGGAGGCGCGCGCCAAGGAGAGGGTGGAGGGGGCGAGGGTCGTGCTGGCTGCCAATGGGCCTGGTGCGGATGGTGGTGGAGCTGCTGCTGCTGCTGGCGCAGGACTAGGACTGGGACTGGGTCTAGCTGCCGCGGCCAGGAGAGGAGGTGGTGCCGCCGGAGCAGCAGGCGCAGCAGTAGGCCCCGTCCCGGCAGAAGAGCGGCTTCGGCGCCTGCGACAAAAACAGCCCACGCCGCCGCCGGGGAAGCAGCCCTCGCTGCCGGACACCGTGGTCGGGCCTTCGCGCTCGCGCTCCCTGTCCCAGCGGGCAGAGGCGGCGCTATCGAGAGGACAGCGCCAAGCACAACACCAACACCAACACCAACACCAACCACAACCACAAGCGCAGGCGCAAGCGCAAGCGCAAGCTGAAGCACAAGCCGAAGCTCGAGCTGAAGCACACGCACAAGGCCGCGTCGACTACCTCGTCACGGCCTCCAACCGCCTCCTCGCCCTCAACACCGCAGCCAACTACTGGGACCTGTTTGCGGGCGAGATGGTCAATGCCGCCGGGCCAGAGAACTATATGACGGATGCGGCGGGCGTGGTGATGAAGTGGTATGAGGGGAGGAAGGCGTGGGGTGTGGTTGAGGGGGGGAGGGTGGTGGTGTGGGAGGGAGGGGAGGAGGTGGGTGGGGGGGTTGCGTACGAGGGGGAGGAAGGGTTTGGAGGAGGGGTTGAAGGGCGAGAGGGACAGATAGAGGGTGGGTGGGGCCAGGGCGGGAAGGCGAGTGCGGAGTGGGTGCAGGGTGGGGGGGTGAATAGGGGGGAGTCTTATGATGTGGCGGAGTAGTGTTGCGGAGTAGGTAGGGTGGTGGTGGTTGTAATGGAATGCGGGGGTGGGTGTAATGTGATTTGTAAGAGACGCGTCTGGAATAGACAGAGAGACAGAGACTGAGACTGAGCCAGAAATTGAGAGACAGCGAATAAGAAAAGCGCTTTCACCTACCTACCTACCACCACCCTATTTCCGCACAGCAAACCCCCCACCCCCAACCTCCACAAGCACGCCCTCCTCGACCATCCCCCACAACAGAACCGCGACCTCCTCCCCACCAAACGGGAACCCCCCCGGCAGCGCCATCTTCAGCATCATAGTGACGCGGCCCGCGTCCATGCGGCCCTGGTTCGTCAGCATGCCCAGCACAAACTGGCGGTACACCTGCAGGTTCTGCAGCAGGACGTCGTGCTGGCTCTTTACTGCGGAGACCGTGTCGGCGGCTTCGGCTGCTGCTTCGGCTGCTGAAGCAGCGGCGCCAGAGGAGGAGGTGGAGGCTTGGTCGAGCGTTTCCAATGTTGTGTATGTGTCTGGAGACGTTTCGAGCAGCACGAGCTGCCCGACCCAGAAGCGCAGCGCCGCGCGCAGCAGGGTCTCGTCCATCTCCAGCTGTTCCTCGAGCTGTTCCACAGTCTTCGAGACCGGGGTCGGCAGCGCAGGCTCCGGTGGCGCAGCGCCGACAGCGCGCAGGCGGGCGTGGCGCTGGCGTTCTTTCTCGTCTAGGGCAGCGTCGTCGTCCTCGCTCTCCTGGAACGCGTACACGACGCACGCCTGCCAGGGCAAGACATCCAGCACGCGCGTGCGGTCCGCGAACGCCAGCTCGACGCGCACGCGGCCCAGAGCCGGCAGCCAGCGGAGCTTGCGCATGTCTTTGATGGCCTCGAAGCCTTTTTCGTAGGCGACCATGGCGGCGCGGATGGGTTGCGGGAGGGCGAACTCGTCTTCGCGCAGGGCGGGCCAGAAGAAGGCGGACAGGATTTGCGCCGAGAGCTCTGGTGATGAGGGGTGGTGGGTGAGCGTTTGCTGGATTTGCTTGTTCATGCGCTTGGATTCTAGCGCGTCTTTGAGCATTACTTCGCAGGCTTGCAGGTTCGTGTCGCCGAGGCGGAGCTTGAAGAGTTCGAGGAGTTGGATCTGCGGGTGCGTTAGGTTAGTTCACTCATAGCAAGTCGAATGCAGATAGATGAGTGTGACTTACCTCCTTCTCAAACTCCGAGTCCTCGTTCTTAAGCAAGTGCTCGCCGAGAATATTCTTCAGCTCGTTGATAAAGTCCTCGCGCTCGTACAAGCTCAACAAATACGCCAGCACGTTCTCCGACTTGGCCTTTTTGAACTCTGGCGACGCGTCCACGGGATCAGGCAGCCAGTCCATATTCGCCCAGTCCAGCTCCTGGTCTTGCTCTTCGATGTTCGACTCAAAGGGATGCAGCATCTCGGCCGCAATCTCTATGCTGATGTCCGGACCCGGGTCGATCCTGTTGCCTTCGTCGTCCTCGACGTCCGCAAGCAGACTCGACACGATGATGCGCGCCGTGTCTTCGCGGTCGCGCAGGTAGCGTCGGACGGGCCTGGCGACCTTTTCGAGGAGAATGCCTTTCGGGTCCAGCTCGACAAAGGCGCGGATGACGTAGATGTACGTGTCTAGGATATGCGTCGTCGTGGCACCGGCGTGCAGCAGGCGCCGAACCACTTGCTGCAGGAAGGTGTTTGTGAGGTGGTTCCGAGCGGCGGGTGTCGTGATGTACTCCTACGATAATCAGTAAAGGCCATCGGTTCTCAACCCCAGAGCTAGCCTACCTTTAGGTCCAGGATTGCTCCCAACGACCGGTCCCAGTTCACAATGTAGTCGAAGAGGTTCTCCACCCGCGCCCTGCCCAGTCTGCCAACCGCCATGTCGACCCACTGCTGGACCTCGCTGTCGATAAGCTCCTGGTCGCCGCCAGTCAAGTAACCCATGATCTCCCTGACAATCGGTGCATACGCGTCCTTGACCCATTCTTTCAGTTTCCGCGTGACGGCCTTCCTGCCATACCAGTCCACCTTCATATAGTGGCTGGCAATGAACGTATCCATGAGATTGTCCATCGCATGCGCCGCCGCTCTTTGAGCCTGATCGCCACCCAGCCCGACCTCTTGCATCTCTTTCAGAATCCGCATAGTCTTGGACCAGTGGCTCCGACTGCCACGGTTGGCATCCTTCCTCGCGTCTCCGCCGTCGGCACAATCCTGCCCACGCAGCCTAAACAGCCGACACCCGGCATCGTAGAGGACGAAGCTGAGGGTCTTAGCAAAGCGGTGCTGCGGCAGCGAATGCAGCACGGTAGCATGATGCTCCCTGCGAAACTTATTGCATACAGCCCTCTGCTCATGCTCGCCCACGGCCGCCCTCAAAACGGGGCCGACATGATCCGTCAAAGGCAGCAAATAAGCCGCCTGCGCGGCCGCGAGCAGCTCGACCGACTTCCTGAGCACCAGCCCCGCCCTGCCCGTCTCAATCGGCTGCGCACACCTGCATTAGCCTCGCGCTCGCGCGCCCAGTGCCAGAACTTGCCCCACGTACATGGTCCCACAGGCGCCCCAGCGCCGGCCTCACGTGCGTTGCGAAATGGCCCCCCACCTCGCTCGCATACCACTCCAGCAGTCCCCCGCCTGGCTGCCCAGCCCCATTGCTTGTGAGCAGAAATTGCAGCGCCTCGTGCGCTTCGGTGTTTAGGCGTCGCCGGCCCCGCGCCTGGTGGGGTAGCGTGTCGGGGAGCGCGAGGGCGCGCGTCGCGATTGCCCAGGCATGGGCGCGGTCGTCGTGTGCGTGTGGCTGCGATGTCGAGTGGTGATGGGTGCGTGTCGAGGCGCGGCGGTCGTGGCTGCGCGTCGCGTAAGCTGAGGATGGCGTGTCTGGGCCGGCGGTGGAGGCGTCGTGCTGGTGTTGTTGCTGCGGCGGTGCGGCGGCGGCGGCGGCGGCGGTGGTGATGATGTTGCTGCTATTGCTGCTGTGGCTGGCGAGCGGGAAGACGGAGGCGAAGACGAGGTCGCGGTGGGAGGGAGCTGCTGTAGCAGCCATTGCGGGCCGGGCTGTGATTGTATTGCAGGTGGTGGTGTTTCCGGGTAGGAGGCAGGATAACGACGTAACGAGGCGCGCGGAATCACGTGTGTCTGACGAGCGCAAAAGTTGCAAGGCTTGTGGGTGCCAAGTGCCCCGCCTCGAGCCAGTCAGAGACCGACGCAACCTCAGCCTACAAAACTGACGCAGACCGCCTCTCTCTCGACCACCTCTCATCCACTCCACCCACCACCATGCCCAAGAACAAGGGAAAGGGCGGCAAGAACCGCAGAAGGGGCAAGAACGAGAATGACCGCGAGAAGCGCGAGCTCGTCTTCAAGGAGGAAGGCCAGGGTGCGTCACACACACAACACAGCCACCCCTCGCCGTCCCTCACGCCCACCTCACCTCCCAAAAACCCCCGTACTAACGCACCCCCGAACAGAATACGCCCAAGTAGTCAAAATGCTCGGCAACGGGCGCCTAGAAGCGCAATGTTTCGACGGCGAAAAGCGCCTGGCCCACATCCGCGGCAAGATGCGCAAGAAGGTGTGGATCAACCAAGGCGACATCATCCTGCTGTCGCTGCGCGAGTACCAAGACGAAAAAGGCGACGTCATCATGAAATACAACGCCGACGAAGCGCGCTCGCTCAAGGCCTACGGCGAGCTGCCCGAGACGGCCAAGATCAACGAGACCGACACTTATGGCGGCGAGGGCGACGAGGGCGGCATTGGCTTCGAGTTTGATGAGGATCGCGATAGTGAAGACGAGGGCGAGGGCATCCGTGAGCAGGATATTGATGATATTTGAGCGAGTGGGGGCGTGGAAGTGGAAGGGAGGAGCGTGCGGTGCGTGCGTGGGCGGTGCGCTTGCGTGCTGTGGTTGCGAAGGCGCCGCGTTGCCCATCGTGTGCAGAGCTGTGTGTCGTTTTTCTCGTTGCTTGCCTGTCGTCGGCGTCGTCTACGGCGGCGCCGGTTTCGTCAGATGCGTCGTCGGAGGGTTGTCAAGTCATCAAAAGCAATCCATTCAGCGGTAGTAGGTAGTGGCGCGCGGCAAGGGTACCAAAACCCCCACAGCCACCACCATCACCACCACCACAATCAACGATCAAACTCCCTAGTCAGCAACGAAAACCGTCAAGTCAAGGAAAGCAAAGCAAAGGAACCGAACGGCAAGGAAAAGGAACGGAGAGCGAGAAAAGGAGAGAAAGTGGGAGAGAGAGGGAGAGACTATAGTAGCTCAGCCAGCACTGCGTCGGCAAGCATACCTATCCACAACCCTGCTCCTGGTACATAACCCCCTCACAATAAAAATGCATGGAGGCGTTTCTGCTACTAGCTAGACGGCACGGCACACAGGGGCTAGGGTTTTCTTTCTTTTTCTTTCTTCTTTCTTCTTTCTTCTTCTCTTATCTTCTTATTCCTCTTCGTGTTCTGGTTTTTTTTTTTTTTTTTTTGTTTTCGCGCTCAAAAAGAACCGGGTTTGATAACCAATGTCACGAACCTGCACTTTTACATACCTCGTTGCACACAAAATTGCCCACACTACACACTACAAACTCTGCACACATACTGCCCACACACCACACACACACAACACACACTACGCACAGAGAAGCTCGCATGTTCCAAGTCATCGCATTATTACCATCTCCTACGCACTCCCGGCCCCTTCTCCAAAAGCCCCAAGCCCCAAGCCCGCCCGCCGCTCGAGAGGAGCCGCGTTTGCCACGTCCCCGAAATGCCAGTGCCAGTGCACCCCCTTCGCCGTCTGACACGACACACCACACCACCACCACCGCTCCCCAAAGAAAGAAAATAAAAAACCCCCCTCACCCCACAGCATCACTCACTCCCCCTTCCCCTTGCCTCCCCACGAGCTAGGTAGCTTTTCCCAAAAAGCCCACTAATCAGCGAAAAAAACGCCTCGTCACTTTAAAAAGTCGTCAAAGCCGTCAATCAGAGAAGATGTGCTAAAAGACGAGGTCGAATCGAAAAAGAAGAATCGAAGAGAAAGAAGAGAAAGAAGAGAGAGAGAAAAGAAAAAGGAGTCGAAGAAGAAGAGGAAGGGAAAAAAGGGAGGGAGAAAAGAAAGTAGCAAAAAGAAAAAAGAATTAAGCAGGACCAAGCACCCAGCAAAGCAGAAAAAGACCAAGAAAAGAAAAACGCCCAGTACCGCCCGATAGTTCCCTCACCCGCCCTGACCCCGGCCCCAGGAAATAAAATACGCTAGATAGATACCCGCACACGCTGCCTGCCTGCCTGCCTGCCTGCCTGCCTGCCTGCCTGCCTGCCTGCCTGCGTGTCTGGAACGACGAAATGAGTATGGAAAGAAGAGAGAAAAAGAAGGGACCGAGAGCCGCCGAACGAGGATATAATAATGGAGGCGCGGACGCGGTTGGAGAAGAAGATGAGAAATGGTGAAGGGGGTGGAACGCAAGAGCAGGGATAGCAGCAGCACGAGCAAAGAACCAGAAGAAGAAGCCCACGCGTTCTTCTTGCCCCGTCCCCAGCCAAGCCAAGACAAGACGACGGAAAGCCAGCCAGCCGCCCGCCCCAGCCACCAAGACACGAAAGCGCAAAGCAAGCAAGCAAGCAAGGACTTGCCTCGCCTCGCCGCGCCCCGCCCTCACAGCCGCCCATGCCTAGCCTTGAAGATGGCGACCTTGTCGTCGTAGAAGAGAATCTCCCTTAGCCGCAGCCGCGACCCGCTCCCCCGCCCATCATCACTATGGACAAAGCTCTCGTCATCGCTCTCATCGTCGAACGCGTCGTCGGGCTCGTCTTCCTCGTCGGAACCACCCTCCTCCGTCTCCTCGCCGTCCTCCTCTTCGACGTCCTCTTCGTCGTCAACGTCGTCCTCGTCGTCCGTGAAGCCCAGTCCGTCGCCCCCGCCGCCTACGTGCTGTCCGAAGGGGCTGCCGCTGCCGTCCAGCGTCATGCTGCTGCTCTCGCTCGAGCTCGGGTGCTTGTTTTCTAGCACTTCGAAGCACTTGGTCGAGATGCCCATGTAGCAGATCTCGAGCTCGGGCCGCAGGGCAATGATATCGACGATTTGGAGAGCCAGCTCGCGGGGGTCGATGTTGTTGCCGTGCGCGTGGTCGGCCACGTGCGGGATGTAGAGGCTGCGGACGTGCGGGATCTGGGGCAGGCGTTGGAGGAAATAATGCTGCTTGCTGTCAGTAACAAAGCAATAAGCCAGGTGCGCGCATTGCTTACCCAGTCGTGGTAATCAATCGTGACCGCCAATTCCCGAAGCTGGGGCATGCGGCCACTGGTTATGAACGTAATAATATCGCGAGTCAACATCCATCTCCTCCACCTGGTCGACGGGTGTCCATCGGCTCCCCTCTCACTGCTGTCGATCATGACTTTCTTCAGGCTCGCACGATGCCGACGCAGGGGCCCGCGGAAAATCGACTCGACCGAGACGGAAGAATGATAGGAACGGTCTTCTTGCAGGAACAAGACCTCGAGACTGTTCGGTGCCAGTGTCTCTTTGAGGAAAGAGATTAGAGAAGATGAAACGGTGTTGGTATGGATTTTCTTGAGGTTCAAACTGTACTCGTAACGGGTGTTCATTGAGGATCTGGGACTCTTAGAAGGCGATCCGGACGCGTAACTTGAAGGCATAGGCCGAGGCGTGTATTGACGGCGCAGAGACTTCCATAATTGCTCGTGGTTGTTGCAGTTTAGCAGAGTCAAGGTCGAAAGAATTGTCCAGTCAAAGGCGCGAAGTAATACGGGGACAGAGAGCGGGACCCGCTCCAATTCCAATATTTCAAGCTTTAGCTTGTTGTTGAGAATTGGACCGAGATTCTTCTCTTGCTCCCGGCGCTGCCTATCAATCTTCGAAGCACCTCCTCCATGGCGCTTCCGGCCGTGAACAGGCGAAGATGCCGCTGAAGATGGTGCCGTCGAATAAGAGGAATGTCCTGATTCGTCCAGTGCCTGGGCTCCTGTGCCTGTGGTTTGCGAACCATACATGCCACCATGGGGATGGGCAATCGGTACGGCAAATGGATTGTTGGTGTCTTGTTCGCGATCCAGGACGGTTTCCTCCGGAAGGTTTAGGTTACTTTTCGCCGATAACGTGCCAGCCATGAGTGCGCGATCCACTGCGCCGAGCTTCTCTTCGCTCTCAGAATTCCGCCTCATGTTGTAAACTCTTCCCACCAATATTCCTAGCACACCACCAAGCCTCTTCTCTCCAATTTTGCTTGCAGCAGTCCATGTGGTGCTATGGTCGACTTGCTGGACCCCGTCACCCTCCCAGACATTCACCCAGTCCCGCTCATGCTCGTGAACATGTCGTGCAACACCAATCCTAAGTTCCCGTAGCTTCCTCTGTGATCTTCCGATAAGAATCGCCATCTCGTCAAGGTAGGGGAGCTCGTCGATATCCAATACGCTAAGGCTCTTTAGCGCGGGTATTACGGAGAAGGTGGGGTGTTCCACGCGGTCCATTGCCGACATGAGAAGTGGCGCGGGCTGCACAGCGGGAACAACAATCGGTGCCTGAGCCACGCCAGCCCCGCTGACATGGTGAGCATGGTGGGGCGGAGGGGGCGGTAAGTTGTTGATCGGCAACGGCGGAGGTACCACCGGTCCGGTGATGTCCGCCTGAGAGTTGTCGTGCCAGCGAATCCAAAGGCGCTCAAGTCTGCAATCCTCTCCGTCGTCGCGCTCAGCCAACGACGATAGCGCCAACCAAACATCCCTCAACACGCCCGTTGGCATGTCCCAGACAAATGTCTCCAGATTGTGCATCCTGGCTACCGCAATAGCAACCAACGTGCCAAGCATTTTGCCCCCTTCTTTAGTTATGAGGTACTCCTGCACCCATTCCGGGGGGCCGTTTCCTAGAGAGAACTTCTTCGTGTAACGCGCAAAGTGGTTGCCCCGGCGGCGTTTCGGCAGTGGGAAGGGGTCGTCGTTGGTGGGCTTTGGTCTGTTGTACCTTGCCGACGTCTGCTCGCGATAGGCGCGTTGGGCGGGCGATTCGCCGAATATCTCCTCGCCCATGACGAGCGTAGCAAGGCCGTAGGTCAGCGCGTCGACGCCGGATCGCGGTTCGGTGTGCGCGGCATTGTCAGGCCAGACAATGTCGAAGCGGGAGTAGATGCAGGGGATCGTGAGAGCGTGCAGCGCCGAGTGGCAGAGAGCGAGTGATGTCAAGTCGTTGGTGTGCGGCAGCTGCAGCAGCTGATTAGCAATCAAAGGGTGCTCTGGAGCATGGGGGTATGTGTGGGTTGCGCTCTCACTCACGTTGTCGATGATGCCTCGCAGAATGTCAACGGGCAGGTCGAGGAGTTGCAGCGGAGCCTTCTTCTGCGCGATCGAGTTCCATTCCTGCTCCTTGCCGTTGAGGAGCTTTGATATAGCTTCACGGGGATGCGACATGTCGCCTTCGGAGGGATCGTCACTTGGTAGGCGGCCAGGCGCAGTGTCGTGATTGTGCGGTGATGGAGGTGCTCTGGAGTCATGCGCCGGCTTGTCCGATGGCGACGCGAACCGGTCGATGGGCGACTCCTCGGCGGCGGGAGGCGTGAAGAGGCCGTCGGGCTCCGTGTACGGGCTAGGCGGGGAGGACTCCATGGTAGACGGTTTGTTTCAAGGGTCGCGCCTCGTTTGCGTGAAGGAGGAAACGCTCATGGGCGGAGCGCATGCACGTGGGTGAAAGCAATCGGGAATTCGGGGCTAAGAAAGGCGGGCCAGGACGAGCATTTGCAGGAGGTAAGATTGGCGGGCTGCGAAGTACAAATGGTCGCTGGGGATGGATGCGGAGAGCGAGGCTCATGCCTGGGATCCTAGCCTTGGCACCCGCCACCCGGGGATCCTTTTGGTGGCGCGCGCCCCCCGGGGGGGAGGTTGGGGTTGCCAGTCCGCACACCCAAGCACCCTTTACACCCAGCTCGACCAAAGATTGATCCAAGCGATTCCGTGATAAAATAATACTAGGTATAGTAAAATCCGATAGCCGCGATTGCTACGTCCCTTTGGCCCATGTCCGCCAGTCCATCACCACCGCAAACGTACGTCCCGTCCTTCACATGTGCTCCGTACTACATAAGGTATATACCTTGCATCTGTACTTGCTTTTTGCACCGCCCATAAGAAGCCACCATCTGCACGGCATCTTGGGCGCTTACCCTAATTAATCTACTGTCCCTATTATCGTGTGTCCCACCCTAATACGGCAGCGTCGTCTGCCCGCGCTCCGGATCGCTCATCTTGATGATCTTGACGTCCTCGCCCAGCGAGACGTTGCCCATGGCCTGCGGCGTGATGAACAGGAACTGCTTGCTGGGCGACCGACGACACGAGTTGATAATCATCTTCATGCTGATGTCGCGGTTGACGCTGTCCATGAACACATCGAACTCGTCCAAACAGCGCGTCGGCGACCCCATTGCATCCCACAGCGACAGCAGGAGACACACAGTCGAGAAGGATTTCTCGCCACCCGACAGCGTCTTTGTTTGGCGGCCCTGCCCTTTTTCCTTGGTAATGTCCGGTTCGACCGAGAGATCGAGCTGCTTGGACTTCGGATCGATCCTCATCTCGCCTCGAAATTTGCGCGCCGCTAGCAAATACGTGAAGGCAATCTTGGCGCGGTCTCCTATGCACACCTTGAACTTTTCGAGCCTTCCATTCCGGTCCATCAGAGCAATCTTCAAGAGCTAAAATTGATGTCAGCATGCAGCAACTGTATGTTTCACAATGACTTACGTGAACGAGTTGGTCCATGTCTTCGACATCTTTTCTCGCTTTCTCGTACTCGCCTCTTGCCTCCATCACTTTCATGTTGAGCTCCTCACGCGTACCGCCAAGCCTGCGCATACAGTCAGTAGTAGTTCTAGGATATGAACGGAGGTCACTAACTCCCGGGCATATCTTTCGAGATCCCTCGTAATCTTTTCTAGCGTCTTCTCCACACCCCCGACGGTTTGGTTACTGGATACCTCTACCCTTTCTGAGACCTTCTGGGCATCGGCAATGAACCTATCGACTGTCGCTCTCATTGCCTCGCATTCGGCTTCCAAATCTGTGCGCCGTCCTCTTTCGGCCTCCACGGCTTCAAGTGCAGCATTCTTCGCCATCAGCGCTCGTTGACGCCTATCTTCCAATCTCTGAACTCGATTTCTTGCTTTTTCGACAGTCCTCTCGATGTTGGTGAGTTGCGTCTCCAGCTCTCTCATCTCGGACCTGAGCATGGTTTGGAACTCGTTAAGCTTATCGCGCTCCGTTACGGCGTCTTCGAACTGATTCTCATGAGCCTGTCTCGCGTCCTCTTGTTCTTGATGCTGAGCTTCCAAGGCTTCTAGTTTACCCGCCTGCGGTGTCTCGGCCTCCAAAGCATCCTGCATCTTTTCCACGTCGTCCTGAGCCTTCTGCATTTGTATCTGAAGGTTTTTGTAATTTCTTTTGTGAATTTCAACAGCTTGTCTGGCTTGCTTGTGTGCCTCTTGGCGGCTTCGGAGGGTTCGTTCAGCGTCGAGAACAGCATCTTTGCAGTCGCCCATGAGCCGCTCGGTTGCCCTGAAGCTGTCAGCAAGTCCAGGAGCAAATTGCATACTTCTTACCTTATCTGAGCTTCTCTGTCCGCATGCATACGAGGGCGCCGATCCCAAGCCATGACAGGGCTCAATGTTGCTCCTCCGGCGCCAGTCCATCCGAGCCTCATTCCACCGCCTCTCCTGTCCTGGTTGAAGGCAAACACCTGCTTCACATTGCGCGGTTTCTGGCCATCAGAATGCGCAAAGTTTTGGGCTTCATTGAAATCCTCAATTAAGACAGTCTGGTCGATGGATTGATTGATGACCATTTGATTGCGAACCAGATCATCGTCAATCTATGCATTTGTTAGCAAGACTACCGCTACTGACGGTGGAACCACCCACCTTCATAACCCGCATCCAAGTCAAAAGATTTGCGTCTGGTTCGTGAGGAGCGGTGTTCAAAGCATCCCTGTTGCCGATAAGGACAGGAGTTTGGCTACGCCTATCTTGGGGGCTGCCGACCGTAAGTAAAGTCCTACCCGAGAGAGTGTTATTGACTTACAATCCAACCCTTCTCATGAGCTCCCGCAGGATAGATTCGTCCTGCTTGTTGGTTACTGCAAAAGCGTTCAACGCAGCACCAAAGGATCTTTCCAGGATTGGCGCCCACTCTGGTTTGAGTAACCGTACGTGGTTGCCAAAAGGACCGACGGGGCGGTGTCGGAAACGCGTCTCGCTGGCAATAGCCTTGAGCAACATAGGCAATTTCTGGTCATACGCGTCCATCCATCGCCCTTGGCCTTGCCTGAGCTCACTAAGAAGTCGCTCGTGCTTTGCCATGTCCTCTCGTGCTCTTGTGAGTGTGGGTTGAAACTCGTTCATTGCTGCTTCAGTCTCTTCCCTTGCCCTGGCAAGGGCGCCATAGTTATGGTTGTGCGATTGGTAGGCTACTTTCGCTTCCTCCGCCTTGGCTTTTGCGTCCTGGATTTCTCTTAGTCTGTCACCATGCTCACCTCCGTTTGCATCTTCTTGGCGCCGCTTTTCGTCCCGTATTTCGTTCTCGATGTTTTGAAGCGTCTTTCTGTCGGTCTGCATAGCGGATTTGATTGCGCGTTGCTGCGCCATAACGTTCATGAGATCCTCTTTGTTTTTGTTGAAAGTGGCTGTCTTCGACTGCAGATCCTCCCGGACTGGCCCTGCGGGAACACCCGCTTCTTCAACTACAGTCTCAGCTTCCTCTTTTTGGCGCTGGGCAACTTCGAGCTCCTCAGACTTTGCTTCGGCTTCCCTGGTCTTCTCCTCAATTCCTTCGTCGAACTCGACGATTTTTCGTTCCAGAGTCTCGAGCGCACTCTCCTGGTCTCGCACTTGTAACCAGGCATATAGAGCAAGAAAATGGTCTCTCCGTCCCTCGATTGCTACATGCTCATCTGCAAGGTTTGCTTTCTGTTTTGCCTCAAGGAACTTCTTTTTCTTAATTTCTTGGTCACTTTTCCTGGTCCTCATCTTGTCTTCTGTCTCATCGATATGATGCTGAAGGAGCCTGTAATCGTTGTCTAGATCTTGGAGGTTTGTACCTTCGAGGAAAAACCGGTATTTGTCGGCAGCGGTCGAATGGTTAAGAAATTGTCTCGCCATATCTTGGGAGAGTACGTTCATCGGGTTGTCTATTTGTAACTGGAAGGCGTCGATAATGTCCTCCAAGTCGGCCTTTTTGGTGGAGATAACCTTTTCCTTGGAGTTTTTGAGTTTGAATCCACTCGTTCCATTCAGGGAGAAATGACGCTCAACAATGATGGACTTCCCATACAGTTCTGGCTTGTATGCTGAAGAGCCGTGGTTCTTGATCTTGACGGCAAGCATTGCCGCTTCTTCACCTGCCTTGATGAAACTCTTGAGATTCTGTCCACGGTTCGTAGATGTAGCCTTGGCACCGAGGCACAGTGTCAAGGCAGTAAGGACTGCACTTTTTCCGCTGCCGTTGTGTCCAATTATGAAGTTGATCAAGGGTCCTAATGGGACAGTCAAATGCGAGTGGCACATAAAATTGATGCATTTGATTTCCTCGATGATTGCGTTTTCCGCGGCATGGTTGTCCATACGCTTTTCGAACCGCTTCACTATTAACCTCATGAGTTGCTCTTGTCGTTGGTCAGTCATGTTCAGAAGGCTGCTCAGATCTTCCTCATGCTGGTAGGACGGCTGCGTGTCATCCGGGTGACCGTCGTGGAAGCCATTCACGGTGATTTCCGGGCCGTCCTCGTCCTCCGCGATGCCTTCATCATCTTCCGCGAGATCCTCATTATCGACTGCGGAGCCCTCGTCGTCTTCGACGAGACCCACGGGCGTTGCGCTGAAGTCGCCATCTTCAGTGGCAGTGGACAGGCGTGGACGCTTGTTGTAGCGCTGACTGGGGCCGGCGGATTCGATGCTGTAATCGTCGCCCTCCTCGTAGTGGCGCTTTGAGGTGACGGGAGCCATGCTTGGCAAGGTGGGTGGATGGCACGGTTGTGGAGATGGGCGTCGCGACAGACGCGACTGGAGCCGAACGGCGCACCGGCGCGACGCGCTGCCAGATGATCTGCGCCGCAAAGAAGCCGACCGATTAGATAAGTCCGCGATACAGCTCCGACCTCTGCGTCTCACCTCGACCGCCGCCAGTCAGACAATGTCAATGATCGCACAGAGGGCACTGAGGTCGCCGGTGCTTCGGCAGCCCGGCCTGCGCGCCTTTTCCGGCCTATCGCGCGATGCGCAGCCCCCCGCGCCCCGCGGATGGACGCCGACGCCCTTTGTCACGGAGACGGTCGTAGGTGCTTCGGCTTTAAAGAGTTTGGGATGAAGCTGACTGAGTAGGGTGGTGGCTGGCACACCTGTGAGTCTGGGTGAAGTGCAGTAAGATCCTGGGAGGTCGAAACTGACTGTTCGAGAAGATGACATCTACTCGCGGTTATTGAAGGTAAGAGCTGCTTTGAAAACGGCAGCTGCTTCTAAGACAAGCCTCTGATTACCGTCAATAGGAGCGCATTGTCTGCTTGAACGGCCAAGTGGATGAAACGTTATCTGCAAACATCGTAGCTCAACTGCTCTTCCTAGAAGCCGACAACCCGGAGAAGCCGATTAACCTCTACATCAATTCCCCCGGTGGCTCAGTTACAGCAGGTATGGCACGTACAGGCAACGTTTGGGGGGGAGGTGGCTGACGGGACAGGTCTCGCTATCTACGACACCATGACCTATATCCGCTCTCCTGTCACAACCATCTGTATAGGCCAGGCAGCAAGCATGGGTTCTCTCTTGCTCTGTGGTGGAGCTGCTGGCCACCGCTTCTGCCTTCCTCACAGCTCCGTCATGGTGCATCAGCCCAGCGGCGGCTACTTTGGACAAGCTTCCGACATTGCGATTCACGCAAAGGAGATTCTGCGCGTCAGGACGCAGTTGAACAAGATATACCAGAGGCATATGACGAAGCCGCATACGCTGGAGCAGATTGAGAAATTGATGGAGCGTGACTATTTCATGGCGGCAGAGGAGGCTAAGGATTTGGGCATAATTGACAAGATCCTGGAACGGAGAGACACGGAGGAGAAGAAGGAGGATAGCTAGGGAGGACTTGAAAGTTGCCATATACCAATTGAATCAGTAAATAGGTATTCGTGCTTGGTACTGTAGGTATGACGATTTTGAGCTTCGGTGATTGTCCGGCCCTAAATTTTTGGCCGCATCGTCCGCATCTCCAATGGCATTAAAGATCCCAATCCCATCATCCCCGAGTTCCACCTTCCCCAAGCTCATGCTGGCGCATCGCCCATCGCGGTGCCTGTGCCCCCTCCAAAACTGCCAGAATGCCTTGAGGCCCACATTAGCGCGCCTCTCCAGGTCCAATTCCTCCACAACCACGCCCATAGATCCCGCACGCGACGAACCAACAACCTCCAGCGACAACGTTACTACCCACCATGGCGACAAGGCGAACCGCATGCGTACCGGGCGTAACCGCAACCTCCCCCTCCCACCAATCATGGACCCGGCAGTGCAGGCTGCGCGCCAGCGCTGGACAGAGCCGAAGCTCGCTCCGCCTCGAGTTAAGGACATGACGCCCTTCCAGCAGAAGCTGTACCGCAACCCGTACGGTACGCATATATCCCACCTCTCGCAAGCCACTTTGCATGATTCAGTCCAATCCACGCCAGCTAGCTAACGTCGCCCTACCACAGCCCACGCACTCGGCACTCCCGTCCGCGCATGCCGCTCCTCAGGCACTCACCTCCCAAGCCACTTCTTCCTCCGCCTACAACCGACCCTTCACCCAGAGACGTCTGAGCCATGGCTTCTTCCCACCGCACTCTCAGCTGCCGCACTTCCAGGACCAGGACAGCCCCTTCCCCCGGCCCCCTCAGCATACACACTCCTGCGCCAATCCTGGCTAGAGTATCTTGGGCCCCCACCCCCGGTAGGAGGCTTTGCAACAGCCTGGGCCGGCGGCAAAGCCAGAGCGAAAGGCAAAGCCCCTGGCCGCTGGCGCGACTCGCTGAACATGCGGATCTTCGAGCGAGTCGGCACTGAGGCGCGCAAGCTCACGTGGCGGGAAGACATGCCCGACCTGGTGCTACGGTTGTTGAGAAAAGTCGCGTTCCGCGCGCTGCAGTGGGGATTTGTGCGGCCCGGGGGCGGGGGAGTGGTGAGACGCATTGATGGGGAGGGATTAAGTCGGTTGGAGGAAGTTGAGGATGTAGGCGCGGTGGTCTTCCTCCGCCGTCTCGCCGAGTCGCCCGCCCTCCGCCGCGTCCGCACAGATGTCATGGCGGCGATAGACGAAGGTGATGAACTCGCAACCGTCGTCCGAAAGCTTGTAGCCACTGCGCGGAAAGCCGCTTTGAAGAAGGGCGCCCAGCCCACCTACCAGCAGCTCACAGAGCCGCCCCCGCCCCGCCTGCAGCCGCAGATTGTGTATCCCGCACTCGAATACCCGACGATGCAGTGGCGGGGCAGGCAAGTCCCAGTGTATGATCTACAGGAGTTGCTGGGTGCTGAGGCGTTGGAGGAGTTGGTGGGAGGAACGGCATGGAAGGAAGATGAGGCCGTGGTGTTGAGGGATAACATTGGGGCACTGGGGGCGCATTTGGCGCTTACCGGCTTGAAGGATTATGTTATTAGGTAGATATCACTGTCCTTGTAGCACAGTAAGGTCGTTGGCTGGATTATCTACAATAATAATACACCCTATTCCGCAACCTTCCAGTTGCCTATTATGTATAGCAGTGGTCACGTGATGGCTTATAGTGCGGGTGTGCATGGGCGCCGTCGCCGATCAAGCCCCACCACACCGAGGCACGCGCGACTCACTTACAACTTTCAACTCCAACACCTGCTCCGCTGCCCACACCTACTCGCGCACCATGTCGGGCCTCGGATTTGGCAGCTCTGTAATCAGTACGACCGCCTCTACTACCAGACAATGCGCGCTCTTTCTAACTTGTACTCGCAGACAAGTCCGGCAAGAAATTCGCGCCAAAAGTCACGGCGCGTCGCCGCCCCGGAGCCTCCGAAGCAACATCTCTGGCCTCGAGCGCCGAACAGACTCCGTCCAGCACTCCCCAACCCTCCGCGGAATCTACTGGGCAAAATGTCCTGCCCACACCTCCTGCGACACAGCCTGGTGACGCGCCAGCCGAGACAGCTACCGCAGCTCCCGCTTCCGCCCAAGTGAACGCGCCGCAGCAGCCTACGCCTACGATCCCTGCGCAATCGCCGAGTTCTACGCTAGAAGCGCCTGAACGACTCCCGGAGCATCGCGATGCCGTCCCAGTAGAAAATGGGGAGAGGTCTCCCAAACGCCAGAGAGTCGAACTGCCACAAGCTGCTCAAGATTCTGCACAAGGCTCTACGCAAGAAAACTCGGGCCCAGTCTCGGGCCCTCCTTCAGCGGAAAGGAGTGTAGCTCAAGATGTTGTACGTGGATTGGAAAATGCGGCACCAGCAAGGGCCGCCGGGGGTGACGGGGCCGGGTTTACTGCCTCGGCAGTTGCTGAAGTAGCGGATGGGCGACGGCAAAGCAATGGACAGGTTGGGGAGGAGACGGCTACTACGGCTGCTACCAGCACGAACACAACGGGTCGGAGTAAGAAAACAGCCACCTCGAGATTCACGAATCAGGATGCCATTCGCGAGGTGATGGGTGCTACTACCGGGGTAACAAGACCTTCCAGGAGAGCGCCTGCTCCCCAGGAAACTCCGCAGGAGACTCGGGAAACACTCCAAGAGCCGGAGCAAAGGGAGGCAGAAGAGACAACGAATACCAGCACGTCGGATGACGTTCAAGCGCGAACTGGGACGGAAACTCGTGCGGTAACAGCTGTTCGAAACAAGAGGGCGCCGAATGTCAACGCAGCGAGGAGAAGAAGGGCGGCTACGACGGATGCTACCGAATCGGAACAAACTACCCCAGATAGCCAAACGGAGGCACAATCAGGAACTGGGGAGACACAAGCTACTACAGCAGACGGGCAAACAGCAGAAGATACCACGAACACGGCAACGCAGAATGCCCCAGTTAAGAAGCCACGGAAACCTCGCAAGGACAAGGGTGTCAGTAAGAAGCGCACTGCGACAGAGGCACAAAATGGAAGAGATGGCAACGCAGAGGCCCCAAAGCCCAAACGACTGAGAAAGAAGCCTCTACCGAAAGCTACCGCGGATGGTGATGTGGTCACCACTGGTGATAGCGAAGAACAAGCCGTGGCGCCTCGCAAGGGCCCCTCGGGGATCAATAGCCACCTAGTATTTGACGACGAGGATCACGACAATCCCGAAAAGACGCGAATCAACGACCAGTCGATGCCTATGGGGGTTTTGACATATGATCTTACCATGGTCGGCGTCCCATCCAACAGAGAGGAGGCGCTTTCCAAGATCGACTGGGACGAAGAGAAGCGCAAGCGCATCGAGGAGCGCGAACGCATTGCCATGGGCGAAGAAGTGGTCAACACGCAAGCCGAACGCGACGCGGCACTGGCACAGATCAACGAAGCCGCAGCAGCGGAAGTACCCACAGCAGGCGGGCCGCGCATGCGCCTGGTCAACGGCCGCATGATCCTGGACACGTCGTCGACGCAAGTAGACCGGCACGCGCAAGCGCTGGAAGATGAATCGGCGCTGCAAGAAGTGGAAGAAAACGACCTGACAACGCGCGTGACGTCGATGTCGTGGATCAAAGCGAACCGCAAAGACCCACGGGAGCGGACGACATGGGGCCCAACACGGGCAGACCGCTGGACCGACGAAGACACCGACGCCTTCTACGAGGCGCTCAAGATGTTCGGGACGGACTTCTTCATCATCAGCAAGATGTTCGCGGGCAAGACGCGGGCAAACGTCAAGCGCAAATTCGTGAAAGAAGAGCGCCTGGCGCCCGAGCGCATCAAGGCGGCCCTGGTCGGCGAAACCGTGCCCATGGACTTTGAGCTCTACAAGCAGAAGACGGGCAAGCCGGACGAGTATTTCCGCGACCCCAAGGTCGTGGCTGAGGAGCTGGAGCGCGAGAACGAGCAGCGCAGGAGCGAGATCGAGGATGCGCAGGCGAGGCACGCTGAGTTGGTAAGGCAGAAACAGCTCGCGAAGCAGGGCGAGGATGGTGATGGGAAGAAGAAGAAACGCGAACGGAAGAAGAAGAAGGGTGGCCCGGTTGGGGGCGAGGAGATTGAGGTCGTCGAGATGGACGGCGATGAGCTGGATCATCGGTAGGGGGGCGGGCGGTTGCTGCTTTGCGGGGCTTTTGCTGCGCTGCGTGGTAAGCAGAGGTGATTTCTTGGTGGTTTGCGTGCGCGCGTGTGCCCGGAAAAAAGCCTGCCTGCTCTATACATACATACAGATAGACACAAACAGATCACGCACTACTCGTGCCTACCTCGACCCACCGCTGCACCGCCGAGTAAAACGCCAGCACCCACATCCACGCCCTCACCCCTTTCCCGTGGATTTCTTCTCCACTGTAGGTATATACATCTTGTCTGCTACATCGCTATCACCACCATCACAGCGTACAAGGACGGGCGGCCCCGTCTCACATTTAGACTATGAGGTGTGGCTGTGGTTGTGTAGATATACCTATGGTAGGTATATAGGGAGGGAGATGATACCTAGCACCCACCTACACGTACTCCCTCGTACTCCTGGGTGTGATGGATGTTTTTATAAAGTACAGTACACGACACGGCACGGCATGCCCCATCACCCTTCCACGCGTCACGTAACTAGGTAGGTTGCTTTTTCGTCTGTCTGCTTGTCTGCTTGTCTGCCTGTCTGTCTATCCACCCACACACCCACACGCTTTTCGAGTCCATCCATCCGAATGCACAACCACCCGCTGCTCTCAAGCACCATCTCCATCCTTTCCACCCACTTGCCCACTCACCCGCCCAACCATCCAACCAACCAACCGACTCACCCCATCACCGTCAATCACATCAAATCAGATCATCCAAGCACCAAGAACCAAGAACCAAGAACAAAAAGGCCAGCGCTAAGGTAGGTCCTAAATAGAATACCTAGCCACCGCGCCAAGCTCCAATTCCATCCATCCGTCGACAACAATAACGGACCTACTTAACCCTGGAACCCCAGCGCATCCAACTCCTTCCTGATGCCCTCCTCAGTCGCAATCTTCTTGATCTGCGTATCCTCCAACTTCTCGCCGCCCGCCTGGCGCATCTTCAAGTCGTCAATCGCGCGCATCTTCTTCAGCAGACTGCGCACCTTCTTGTCGTGCGCGCTAGCCCCGCCCGGCGACGTTACCGTCACATCCGGCGCCGGCACCTGCTGCGTCGGCGCAGGCGGCGCCACGGCCGGCGGCGCCGCCGCCCGCTGCCCGTTCTGGCCCTGCTGGAACTGCTGCGGCGGGCCCCTCTGCTGCCGGTTCTTGCTGGGCGCGCGCCCGTCGCCCGAGTTGCCGCGCGAGCGGTTGCGCTCGTGGGTCCGGCCGTCGCGGCCGTCCGGGCTGCGCGAGTGCGAGTGCGGGTGTCCCCGGCCCTGCTGCCCGCCATGGGCGTTCAGACCAGCGGCCTTGTCCGCGGCCTCCTTGGCCTTCTTGGCCTCGCGCTTCTTCTTGTTCTTGAGCGCCGCCTTGGACAACTCGCCGTCGGCGCCTTCGCCGGTGCCGGCGAGGCTGACACCTCCACCAGGGGCCGCTCCCGAGGGAACGTGCTCGGTGGGGTCGGCACCAGGGACCATGCGTTGACGGGGACGTCCGAAGCCGTTGCTGTTGATGTTGCCGGACGTGGAAGAGATGCCGGTGTTGACGTAGGCAGCACCACCCTCGTCCTCACGCTTGAAGTGGAGGGGAGTGCTGGTACCACGGGCACCGGGAGGCCTGTAGGCACCAACAGGCTTGGAGGGGGTCTTGGCAGTGCTTAGATACTTGAGGGCCGAGGCGTGCGGCGTCGGAACCGTCAAGGGGTTGCTGTCAAGCTGGATGTCCGCCTGAGGACGCCAGCAGACGTGGTAAAGCTCGTGCATCTCCTCGTGGTACATGATGCCGCCACCAATGTGCCAGATCTTCATGCCGTTGTCCACACGCAGGCGGGGGCTCGTAGTGGCAGTGAGGATGTGCTTGCCATCGGGGCTCCACTCGCAGACCGACGAGTTGCTAGCTTCAATGGTGCAAATCTTAGTGTAGTCCTTTTCAATATCGTAAATGTCCATCTGTCCAGCCAAGTTACCAAAGCCAGCCACCAGAACAAAACGACCATGGGGCGAGAAGAGGATGGTGTTGCGGGGCGCAAGAGGGAAGTTGTGCGTCGCAACGGCGCGCTGGTTGAAGACGGTGGCCTTCGCGGGCATGTATCCATAGATAACACCGAACTCCTTCGAGTTGGGGGACCACGTCACGTCGTGGATGGGGCCCTCCTTATCCAGCGTAATCCTGGCGTCGAATCCACCATTGGCGCTCAGGATATACATGTTCGTCTCGCCGTAGTAGCTCTTGTTCGACTTGTCGACATCGGTCTGGGCAAGCACAATGACGCTAGTGCCCAGCGCGTTCCACTTGAGCTGCACCTTGTCGCCCTTGAAGAAAGTCTTCTGCGACACAGGAGAGTTGAACTGGGGAACAAGGAAGACCTTGACTGCGGCGGGTTGGCCCTATACATCGATTAGCAAAGTCATCTCCAATCGCATGCGAACTGAGTACCTTGCGCTCCGGAATGAAAACAGCAACTGAAAGGTTCTTGCCCGGCGAAACAGCAAAGTCCGTGACGCCCTCAGCGCGAAGCTTGTTCCAGACGGTGCCCAGATCTCCGCTTTCGTAGAATTGAACCTCATTGGTGACGCAGCGCGCGCAGTAGCGCTCGTCGGCGGTGTACTGCAAGTTCCAGCCAGTCTGGTTTTTCTGCACAAACTGGCCGACGACATTCCTTTGTCCCTCGGCGCCAGCGCTCTCATCGATCGTCCTCCAGACCTTCAAGTTCTTCGTGGCATTGCCAGTCTCGTCCTTCGAGGGCCTCTGCCAGGTGATGATGTACGTGCCGAGAGGGGAGAAACCAAGCTCGTAGACGTTCTCCGCGGGAAGGGTGGTGATGACGTGTCCAACGGCAGCATCAATGACGGAAACTCTAGCTCACTGTCATTATCTTGCGTTAAGAGAGAAGTCGTGGAGGAACATACTGCTCGGGTGAAGCCCAGGCAAAGTATTTACCGTCGGGAGAGTAGCAGCAGCATCGAAGGTTGCCCTCGGGTCTGCGGGAGGCGAAGTCAGAATGCGATCGGTACAGCGGAAAGCTCCAGGCACGGACTCACCTGGCGAAGCCGGGAAGCTCTTCGTAGACTGGGGCGGCGTTGAGAACGCCAATGCCCTTCAGGGTGCGGTCTGCAAGAGGGCGCGCGTCAGTTTTGTGCGGAGGCTGGGAAGTGGCCAGGAGGGCGGCTTACAAGCCAACTGCGTCGGTTCAGCCATGACTAGTGAAAGCCACAGGAGGATGCGAAAGTTGTCGGAGCAGTGATTCTTGGGTTGCTAGCTGACGCTTGTCCGATTCCTTTGTCCGAAATCGAAGTGACGAGCACGCGCCTCAGGGCTGGTCGGGGAGGAGGAGCCTGAAGAATTGAAAGTTTGCGCGCTTGATCGTCAGGAGGTCTCTGCGCTGGATAATGAAATCCTCGCAGGCACTGCTCGGTTGGCTTGAAGGCGAGTCGTCAAAGTAACGGCGGACACGGGGGGCGGTTGAGGCGCGGGGGAGGCGTGTGGAAGAGAAAGCCGTCGGTGACGCTGGAGATGATCAAAACATCTTGTGGGACGCCTGGCCGGGCCTGGCGCCAAGAGTTCCAACTTGTCCGTCCTCGCCCAACCTCATGGCATCTTCAAATCGCTGCAAGCTCGCTGTCAATGGGTGTGTTTTTTCGCTGCGACAACCTGCCTGCCATGCCATGTCATGTCTGCCATGCCATGCCATACTCCGTACCTCTTCTCGTGCCTGCGTGGCCACGACTGCAGACACTGCCACGACGTCCGCACCCAGTCAGCCCTTGCACTTCCCCAAATGATCTCATCACGACTTGACCGAGGATTTCCTCCTCCTCCGGAAGAAGGAAAAACAATCCCTTTTACGTCCTTTTGTGCTAGAGACGTAAACTGGACGCTCAATTGTGCGACACATCCGGACGCCATAGCCGCCCATACACCCAACGTCTCAAGCCCATGAACTCGATTGCAACGTGCCCTGTCAGCAGGGGAACAAGCCCTTAGTCCGTGCCGTGCCACAAGTCTGCGCAGGCGCAGGCTCTCTCCAGCATCTTGTACTCGCACATAGTGACACCCATATTATCAAATACATATGCATGCGTACTCTAGTTTCCCCAAGGCACCTAGGCAGCCCTAAGACCAGGCCGTCGCACCTGACGGAGCCGGACGACCACTCTGACGAGAAACCGCGCTCATCCCCATGCACCCAGTCCAGAAGAGGTAGGCCAGCTCTACAACTTCGAACGTCTGAAGGAGACGTCTCCGACGGCTGACAGGGTCATCTCCGCTTACCCCAGCGCTGTGGCCTCTCCCCGGTGCGCGCGCGAGCTGGCGTGGGTGCTCGGTGGCGCCCCGGAATGCAGTCCGCCGTCTTTACGGCATACTGTCTTGCTCTAGTGCTCTTTATCTCTCTCCCCCCTCTCTTTTTCTCGCTCTCTCTGCTGCTGTCTATAAACTATTCAGTCCTGGCTGCTTCGACAAAGGTCCTTCTCATGGTGGCGACCACCTCAAGGAGGCGCTGTCACGATGTGCGCCATACATTTCCAGCGGCACATCAGCACGCACAATTATTCACGTCATGCATGATCTGGTAGAACCAAACCCACTCACCGCCATCTACTCGTACATATTATGTTTCTTGACCTCATTGTCTCGTCTGCACGCTACCGGCAGCCATACACAACCCGGCGGTTGATCGGCTCCGTGCAGGTTTCTGAGCCAAAGAAGCCCTCTCCTACCCAATCCTCAACACTACCAGCGTAACCCGCGAAACCGTGTCTAACACCTGCAAGCAAGGCCCGTACAGGTCATCTACAAAAACGACAAGTCAGAACCGCCATGCATGTGGTGGTCGCGTGCAGACGCGGCGTTAGGCGCACTGGCCGCATGACGCCCTGTCCGAGATGACATGCGTGGTCGATCCTGCATATAAGACACACACACGTCTGACCATTAGCGCGAAGATTGAACCAGGGAGTGTTTCCGTGCAACGTGAGTAAAATGAAGGCGCTTCCTAAGCCAATAACTGCTGTAAGCTCTATTAGCTACAGCTCAATATCATACCTCCGCAACGATATATTACTCGGGAAAGGGTCCTACTGGTAGTAGATCTTGATAAGGTGTAAATTTAATAGTTACCTGCTAAGTAGAGAAAATATATATCGGGACCCAGACATATTCAGAGACATGTTTACAGTTTACCATGCCGGCGTCCCCTGTCTATGATGCCTGTCCGTTCCTTACGCTACCGGTTAAATGCGCGAGTATTCTGTAGTCGCTTCTTTGGTGCTGTCCTTGTTCCCGTAGCCCGCGGAAATCGCCCCGTGGTTTTCTATTTTAGGCTTGCGCCTCCGTGCCTGATCGAGCCGCAATGGCAGCGAAGTGACTGTGGCGCGTCCGCGAACGTCGATGAGTTTTGCCAGCTAGGCCTTCCAGAGGGAAGGTCGTTTTTTTGAAAAGGAAGGCGGTTTGAAGGCGTTCTTTGTCTTTGGCGGAGTATGAGCCCTGCGCCCCAGCTGACGGGACGCGAAACGCGGACAGGGGATGAGGGTATGGTAATGTGCTCTAGCGGCGCAGTAGCGTGGTGTGTGGTTATCCTTACCCTGTGGTTGGTCATCGTTAAAAATTAATCATCCTGCTTAGACAGCCTTGACGTCTGAGTATGTTCAAACAAAATATGGGACAAGGCGTGACAGTAATGGAAGACAGCAGCCAAGTGTGTCTTCAGTCACACGTTAAGATAAATGAACATCTAAGTGTCACGTCTTGGATACAGGCGATCTCTTGAAGATCTAGTGTGACGGCTTAGGGCGCAGTACAGACCGCCTATTCGGAATCTTAAAACGTCAGCTGTTGATGGATTATAGGTAACCAAGAGTTGGTCCAGAACCACCATCAGGGCCATCCGTCTTGTAGTCTGAAGAAACGTAAGATCTTAACGGTATGCCTTGAACCCGAGTCTGAGACGGCGTACTCGATTATCATGTTGTAGATTGCATCTTGACATGCGCTTTATGTATTCGCCTCACTGCGAGGTGAACAGCGAAGACTGCTAAGAAACACGTGGCGGCGAACGGGCTGAGATCCGAGGTCTGAGGCTTGAGGTTTGGAAGGCAGGTATGTGGTTGGTGTAGCTGGTGACACTTGGCACCGGAGTTGTACTGCGAATGTTACTGAAGTCGCATCTCCAAGACGCAGGACCTTGACTTTGCTTCGCGATGGGGTCGCAGCAGCCTGGCAGGCAGCAACGCGACCGCGAAGACGCGTCACCGCGAAAAGCTCATAGCTGCGCGCCAGCGACGAAGGTGACAGACGCCGAGATTGAAGGCAGATAGAAGACGACATGTCGGACGATCAGTGATGACGTGCGTTCTTCCTCAAAGTCCCGCGCAAGGCGAAAGCATCAATGAAAAGACACGAAAAGTCTTTGTAAGGGGTTCAAAAATTCCCCGCCGATCCGAAGACCAACAGGAGCGGTCAGTAGTTGTAGTTTTCAACTAGCAAAAACGCAATCTCGGACGAATCCTCACTGATATGCGTAATGCCCTTGCACCAAGATGAAGAAGAAAAGAAGAGGGTTTGGAGGGGGAGGGCGAGCCCTTTTATCCTTGGCTCCCTGGTCCGAGCGCCCGCTAAGCGAGCAGGGCGGTGGACGGCAGGGACGACTGCGGGAAAGAGCCGCCCGCACGCGCCTGCCGCAAACCACCTCCCACCTCTTTCCTTCTCGCCCTTCCACGCCTTTCCATAATCTTTTCTCCCGGGAAACCCTTACGTTGTGATTCCGTCTATCTACCTCTATGCTATTACTATCACTATCACTATCGCAATACCGATTCCTGGCTTTCTTCATCACATGCTCTGGAAGCCCTGTGATTCTGCACTCATTGTGGATATCGTCGAATCTATACTAAATCTGGCTGTGGAAAAGCACCCATCTTCACTCAAAGAATTGCCTACCCAGTCAGCAAATTAGATTCCTTGTACTACCGCTCTTCATACACATCAACCATCAGCCACAGAGTTGTCTAAGCAAAGGGCTTGGCATGGTTGCTGCCAACGGACTCTCCGCCGACGACAACTCAACGTGGACTTTGATACAACGACAACAAATGACCACAAGAACAAGCCCTGCTTCTATTATCAGAAGGTGCCTCTATAATGTCCGTCACCGTTGAGCGAGATTTACCTCTAGCGAGTTGGGGAAGGATACAAGCAGTCCCGATGGAATACTCCTTTCCTGACTACATGTCTGTCTGGATATAAGTAAAGAGATCTTTAGATGTACACATACTTACATACACCATAGCTTGATTTCGTTCCACTCCATACATACGGGACCTGGAGTCGGTAAGGCAACTTTTCTTTTCGTCATGATGCTGGTTAGTACATACACCAGTAATTATGTCCACTGTCGTCCTCGTTTCTTGGATAACAAAGTTCAAGAATCATTGTCTTCTTTCACTATATTCACAATCAGACAATCAGTCTGAAAGAACAAACGCAACTGTAGGTGTAGAGCTGCAACACTGAATGCCATCCCACACACGACAATATCAATTCCGACCGCCAGCTCCAAAGAAAAGGTGGCTGCAAGAAGGTGAATGGCAACAGCCCAAGGCCCGTGCACCTACGGCTGTCTAGATGTAAATATATAAACTCCGTCTCGTCCTTTCTTTCTTTCTTTCTCAACCACCGCAAAACCATCACTGACGCATATACCGTTCACACCCACTCCAAGTTAGTCAAAAGTGAGTTTCCGCAGCCTCCATCCTAGATACTAAAGATATTACTAGTCTCTTCCCCCTCTCTCCGAGTGGGTGCCCTCACCTCTCACCAACTCACGCAACACGCACCCCCCTCCAGCCCCTCCAAAGCCACCACCATGGACGTGCGCGAGATCGAGCTCCCGTCAAGCACGCAGAGCAAAGAGACAGAAGTCTTCGAGCGACTGTACACGCGCATCATCCGTAAGTCCTATCTCATCTTACCCCACCCCACCCCACCGCCCATGCAAGCCTTAACAGCACACACTGACAGCGCTCTCTCACACAGGCAACGCGCGCTGCCTGCGCGGCTCCAACAAGTTCCTCGACGTGGTCAACTACCGCTACAACGACAGCGCGACACCCACGTACGCCGCCGTCCTCATCGAGCACACGGGCCCGCACGACGCCGAGGTCGTCCTCTTCGCCCGCGCTGACTCCCGCAATGCCGCCTACTGGCTGCTGCTCGATATCACGGAGCGCGAGCTCGAGACTACGTTCAGTGGTGCTGTTCATGGCCAGGCCGTCAACACGCGCCGGCTTGTTGTTCCGAAGCAGCTGTAGGTCGTGAGGGAAGCTGGGTGGGTGAGCGGTGGTGCTGATGGTGCTGCTGGTGGTGCTGGTTGCTCGCTTGCTTACCTCGTCACTTGGGTCTGCTGCGTTTGGCTGGTTAGATGGGTGCGTGGTGGAGACGGTTGGGGGTGAGACTTTGAGCTGGCGGCAGAGCGGGCGGGCGGCGCCGTGGTAGAGTTGCCGAAAATGACGGCTTTCGTCACTACTTACTTAGCTAGGTGTGACAACCTGGCTGTCTAATGGGACCAACGATTTCTTTGCTTTACTGGCTTGCTTGCATTTTAAGACTCACTTTCGCTTTGTGTACGCAGTTTGCTCCACCTGTCCATTCAGTGCTTTGAGCAATGCAACGTCACTGACGCCGCCTGTTTGCGCCTCGCTCTCACCTAGATAGGTAGCATTTCGACGGTCTCGCATTGCGCACTGCTTCATCGGCAATCCAAACGCAAACAACCACCGTGGTAAAGACTGAAGGCTGAGAGAAACTGTCCTAATTGAAAATGAGAATGTAAACGGAAACGGAGAACGGAGAACGGGAAACGAGATGTGCTGGCGGACTGGGTGGGTAGGCCGACAATCTTAGCCCTTAGGGCATACATGCAAGGCGGATCTCTCGATACGCGTGAGCCGAGTGCAGTTGAACAGGTTAGAGAGGTAGTTGGCGGTGGTTGTTGGTGTAAGGCAGGGACGTGGGATGTGTGTCGCGGTTTTAGTGCCTATCTGGTTAGTTAGGGTGTTTGTACGTAGGAGTTTGTACGTAGGAGTTTGTACGTAGGTAGGTAGATGGGTCTGATTGGAAGATATGTGGAAACTGGGTGCATGAGATGGATGTATGGGTTGATTAAGCTGGGTCTTGTGGGCGGTAGTAGATGAGACGCGTGCTTTGCAGGACTTTGTGCGATTATGGAAGCGTGTGATGCACGCTCCTAGATATTCGAGGTTCAGAGTCCGGAGTTGGGAGCGTAACTCGCTTGCATGTCATTCATAGTAGTCGAGTTAGTCTACATCATGCCTTGCCAGGCACTCTACTGGACGTGATACCATGCCGCTATCCATCAAGCACATGCACTAATATGCATTAACGCCGAAACGCTGCTCCGCTACAGGTTGGTCAGGTAGTCCTCGACCTCCTGGGGACTCAGCTTCCGGAAACGCGGGCCCTTGGCGCCCTCCACGCCCTCGTATCCAAGCAGACGGTCCTCCGGGGGTCCTACGATACCTGAACGGGGTTAGTGCAAGCTTGACGGGAGAACGAAGCCGAGCGCTTACCAATCTCGACGGTGTCGCCGTTCATCTCGCCTTCTATGGTCTCCTTGAGCGTCAGGAGGGCAATGTGGATCGCATCCTCCAGCTCCAAGCCCTCCGTGTACCGCTTCTCCAAGAACGTCTTTGCGCTGGTCGCGCTCTTGCCGATGGCGGTGGCCTTCCACGGGAAGTAGCTGCCGCTAGGGTCGACTTGGTACAGGCTCGGGCCGCCCTTCAGGATACCTCCGGTCTTGCCCGTCGCCCGCGCCTTCTCGGCATCGATGTCACCCGCATCCTTCGCCTCCTGCTCCGGCTCGATGCCGTCGTCCCAGCCGGCAATCAGCAAGCTGACGCCGTACGGACGGACACCGCCCGACTGCGTGGCCTCTTGCATGACTCTCGCAACATCCTGCACCAATATCCTCGTGGGCGGGTACTCGTTGTAGATGCGCTTGTAGTTGGTGTGCGAGACCTTGCGCGCCTTGTCGACGAGAATGCGGTAGTCCGGTCCCATGCCCGAGTAGACCATGCCGATGTTGGGCGTGATCAGGCTGACTTTGGATGCCGATTGCGCATCAATGAGCGGCGAAGACGACTTCTTCTCCGTGGCGAGCACGATGCCGTTGGTCGCTGTCACGAATCTTAGCGTCCGTCTTGTCTCATGTCTGGAAATGGCAGCTCTCATGCCTACCCTTGATGCCTAACGACGTGACGCCCTGGTTGACGGCGTTGAGGGCATACTCTGGTGGTCAGGTCAGCAACTGCAAGCTCGGTATTATCGCTTGGGAGCTGAGGGGTAGGCGCACCGATCTGCACCAGCTTTCCGCTATACAGCCATCAGCAACAGTTCTCTTGATTGCGGGTGCTTGTATTTACCTGGGCGAGAACGTCGTGAGCGAGAACGAGTAGCGGTCAGCCATGCTGGTCCGGTCGAGTGTGGCGGCAAATGTAGAGGAGAGTGCGTCCGAGAGGGGGCGACGCCGTTGGAGGGCGGGGTGGGAGAGATGTCAGAGGGGTGAAGGCGACGATGTTGAGCTGGACGTGGATAGCTCCGAGCTGTAGCCAAGCTGCCGTTACGCGGTTGGCTTTCGCCCGCGCCGGGATGGTCACGTGCGACTTGGCGGCGGACAACCGATAAATGTCATCAACCACGACTCGCCTCTCTTCATGTGTGCTGTGCTTTGCGGGCGACTGATAGCAAGCCAAGCGCCGTCCGCAGGGCCTCAAAGACACCGAGGAGTGCACTCTGGACAACATCTCAGAGCAGTCCATCGAAGCTGCCAATGCAACCACCATCAACCCGCCACACGGTGTTCTAGGAGTACAAACAACTCGTCTTATTTTTGTGTAGCTAGGATTATGTCCAAGTCCCCAGATACAGGCCAGGAAGAACCACTCCAAATGCGTAGATAACTGCGTACCCATTCTGCTGTGCTGTGACCCGGAGTACCGCCATCGCCTACTTGCCCGCGCGCCCACTCACTCACTATCTGATAGTATGAAGAACGTCAATAACGAGAGAATACCCTCTTCTTCGAGAGCAGTGTCTTCCGTCAAAACACACCATCGGAGGAGACATACCCCTACTCCGCACCTCCTTGTGGTATCTCCTCTAAAGATCTAGGAGTATGTAGGGGGACAGCCAAGCCAGCTTTTTACCCACCAGACACCCACCACTCGACGCGCCCGACGGGCAACAGACATCGAGACAACAGCCTCCACAAAGACAATATTGATGCCGCCGTTGTAAATCCGTCTTTAACCCCAAGACCATAGGAGTAGCAGTAACTCGATAGCCCAACCGCCATTCCAACGCGGACAACCGTATCGTATAAACTATCCTGGCTGCAACCAGCTGCGAGCACGACACACCCTCATCATGAGCCCTGCGAGAAACGTTTCTGCGAGGTTCTATAAGTTCGGCCGGCCCCAGGCTCTATAAGCAGTTAGAGTTAGTGTAATACCTCATCTCCTTTCGAGTCTTCGCAACATTTGTACGAGCTGCCTGGGCAGATTGTCTGCCGATTCAGATTGTCTGCCGATTCTTACTCTCATAGCCTCCAGGCAAGACTTGAACGAGCAAACCCACTAGAGGGGTTTATATAGACCCGCTTCATATCAGGCACTACTAGCCAGTCCAGAAGACCGAGGGGTATCGCCATCAACGAAACACGCCACTGACTGGGGAACTCGAGTCTGCCCCCGCACGCCAACGGGCGGCCACTAGGCCCCGCGCTGAGTTGGCGCTCGTGCTGTAAGTTTCTGAAACAATGGAGTGGAATCGCAAAGGTTGGGTGGGATTCCAACGCTTCCTTGGTGCTCGATTAGCTGCTTGCATCGTCGCGCCCGTAGGCTGTTCTGGGCTTGATGCAAATGACTCGTCCTGGTTCGATTTGCTGTTATCTGCCCGCATGTTGACCCATCCGTGCGCAACGAGCGAATGCAAAAGGATGCAAGCTGCATGACCAGTTTTCGCTCAATAGACGCTGTTACGGGCGATCGGTGGCGTTCTATCGAACTGGTTTTTGTTGAAGGCCAAAAACGATCACGTGCGTTGGCCGACTCACAGGTTGAAGGACGGCGGGAATTGGGAATTGGGGCAGAGCCGCGGAAACAAGCCTAGCGAGCGTGGCGCTTTCGACTGCAGGCCAAAAATAGATAGAAGGTTGGCTGCGTGGCGAGTATCCAAGGACGCGGTCCAGAAGTTTTCTCAGGAGATCTTCCCCAGGCCAGGATCGCGGGCCTTCTAGAACACACGATCCTCCCGCGCCGAGCAAAAGCTCCGCTCAGGTCAACACCCACGCTAAGCCCGAATGGGAAAGACACGATAGACGAGTGCGGAGTGTGGAGATGACAGCGCGCGTGGCGCTAGGCACGTGGAGCCTGCACACTGGGGAGGAAAGCTTGGGTCAATGGACGCGGCTAGAATCTTCACGGTCAGGCTCCTTATTTCGACCTCTCTCGTGAGAATGAGGAGAGAATGCGGGAGCCCCAGAGTCAGACGACTAGCAAAGGGCGGGGAGGACAGCATGCACTCCGCCCTGGAGGTCTTGCTTTTGCTATCGCACACGCGTCCATTGCGTCGAGATCACGCCTGTTGCTGCTCGTACGAAGTACCCCGGGCGGGGGCGGGAACGGGGAAGCGAGGCCAACGGCGGCCGACTTCGTATCAGCTGCAAGAAACAGCAGGCAGTCTCGCCACCAGGCAGCCAACGGCGGCGGCGCGGCTGAGTTGCCTCCAAGGTGCGGTGAATGCTATAGGCAGAACGCAGGGACAAGTCGACGTGCTCACACCGAAGAGGCGGGCTGCAGCAAGTCGGTCTCGCGATATTCAGGGCTTCCACAGGCTTCCGCAAATCCGACGCAGCATCCCTTGGGGATTGACGGTGCTGAGATCCGGGGTCGGAGGAGCGCCTTTTCGGCGGTCAGCATCAGCTGCAGGGACTGGAGAGGGTGCAGATGATCATTTCGCCGTGCTCGGTACGTACGAAAAGCCGGCGGCAGGCAGCTCCCGCGATCCAAGCGAGTTTTTTCCATAGCGGCAGCAGCACAGCCAGGGAGGCGTGCGGCCTGGGCGCGCGGAATTCGAACCGTTGTCACAGACCGGCACTTAATCGGCCAGACTCCTGGCTCGAAAAGTTGGGAAAAGTTGGCGGTGGCAAGGTCGTTGGCAGGCGATCAGTTCAGCGATGCGCGTTGGCCTGCAGGCAGATGGATCTGCCTCGGGAGGAAAAAGCGGAGAGTTGTGGAGCGATGCGTGATGCCTTGGACGCAACACCGAATCCGGAAGCGCCGGACCCTCGAAAGCCCCTGCCGCCGATCTCCCCCCAAGACCACGCCACACAAGCCCTCCCGCCATCGCAACGCCGCCATCTCCACAGAAAATCTCTGGCGAGAAAAAAACTTCTGGGCCGGCCGAGGAGAGGCCACCTGAGCAATGGGGTATATATAATCCTGGGGTCGGCGAGGGGAAGACGTCTTTCTTCTCCATCCACACACACACAAGTCCATCGTTCTCAACTACCTACAACCAAACACTTCCGACACAAGTCCCTCTTTCCAACCAAAGACCGACTACCACCATCACAACAACAAAAATGCCTGCCAACTGCACCGGTTTCTGCAAGGCTCAGCGTGCCACCGCTGACGCCGCTGCCTTCGAGGCCGAGAAGGCCGCCATTGTCTCCTACGAGCAGGACTGGGACTCCTGGGACGGCCCCGTCTGGGACTGGCGCTCCACCAACAAGCCCGCCGAGCCCTGCACCTGCCCTGAGTCCAAGAAGGTCGCTGCTCTGAAGCGCCCTGCCCTCAACCGCAACCCTTCCTCCTGCTCGTCCATCTCCAGCGTCAAGTCTGTTGATGCCGACTGGCATGCTTCGGCCACCCCTGGCTGCAACAAGTGCGGCCACGGCGCTTCCACCATCCACATCTAAGCGACTGGATGATGCTCCGAAGATCATCAGTCATGGTCTTTGTTGACCAATGATACCCTCGACTACTACACTCCAACCACGACGATTCGACCCAGGATGGAACGAGGAAGGCGTACTGGCGTTTCCCAACGCCCGGGCATGGACATAATCGACCGGTAACAGGGGATTATCAGGGCTTGGAAACTGTTCTTTTTCTTGTTTGCATGTTTTTGAACTTTCGGGTAGATATGTTTCTACACAGCGTAGAAGGCCACGGCCAACATGGGTTGGCGTTCCATCTGTCTTACGAGACTGTACTCAATTACCAACTTTATTGACGCTTTGTCGTCTTTTCAACTTTACTCAAGTTTGCCATTGCCTTGCCATGTGAAGTCTATAACAAACCAACATTAACGTAAACATGAGCGTGAACATCACCTCAACTCAAGAACAATCAACGCACACCAAACCTCCAAAGAAGCCCACAACGTCACAATCCCCCACATACCACGTAAGTAGGTCACCCACCTACATACCTAGAGTAGTCCCACCGAGCACAGTCATCACCCATCACTCATCACTCATCACTCAGCCGCAAATCCACCACCTACCTATTTACCCACGCACCGGCGTTTTGGACCATGGCGATCAGCCTTGCAAGATCCGCTCCCTTATTCCCGTCCAGTATCCACGACACGACCGCAAACCGCCGCTTCGCCGCGCTTTCCCTATCCGCGCCTAGCGCAATCGCTCAATTTAGCCCGCGCGTGGTTGACGTCATGCACGAAGTGCCAACTGCCGGCCGCTAGGCCGTGACTGCTCTGTTCGTACCTAGGTACGCACTACCCACTACCATGCCCACGTGGCCGTACGCTCCAGCAGCTACGTAAGAGCAGCTTCCGCCGCTCAGAGGCGGGTTTGGTAGGTAGGTCAGGGTGCGCATTTGCTGGTCACGGGTTGCGATTGCGACTACGTGGCTTGGCTAACCAGCAGAGGATTTACGGATTAGTTTAGGGAAGGAGAAGCTCGGAGGACGGTGGAAGGAAGGTACGGATTACATGGGGAAGGTGCAGGGAGATCGGGTAGCGATCTGCGCTGTCCTGCCTTCCTTCCTTTCTTGCGCTGGAGCGCCTGTTTGCCGAGGCACGCACGCACGCACGGTAGGGACGCGCGCATCTCTGCCTGCTCTTGGAGCGGACGCGCGGATACGCGGAGGCTGGGCGCGTGGGGTCAAGGGTCGTGTCTGTCCCTGGTATTACCCCTACTGGGTTGGGGGCGAGGTCGGCGTGCCGGCGTGGGGGCGTGGGTGGGATTTCCCGCGCGGACGGAGTTGGGCGTGCCGGGCGTGGGCGTGGGATTGGGATTGAGAGGCACACACGACACACGGGAGGGAAGGTTGGACGACGACTGCGCTGCACTGAGATGGGAGGGACGTGGCCAGGTAAGTGGTGGAACGCTTGGCGCATAGGTTGGTTGGTATCGCCCTTTCGACTCTGCTCGCCTTCTTTGCTTTTTTTTTTTTTTTTTTTTTTTT